TTTCCTCTCCAGCTTACGAGTCATCTGCTTTATTCTACGTGTTTGAGAATTATACCACGGAGTCAGGTACTTCTGATTAGAGACCTTAGTTTTCACAGGAGCTACAGTATCCAGAGTCGTACGTAGTGAGGAGGTAAAATTATTAACAAGATGATCGACCTCTGTTGGGGTAGCGTTCAGATAGCTGCTCTGCTCTATGTTGGTACAGGGCATTGAAGATGATAACAGTGGGTGGATTATATTCTTAAACTTAGTTACAGCGCTTTCAGAAAGACATCTACTGTGATAAAGTCTACTCTCCACTGCTGCGTAATCAATTATTGTAAATGTAAATTGTGAGATTATAATATTATTTTATGCCATGTTATGCCCCTAATTAAAGATTGTGAATTATTATGTAGTTTTAGTTTGCATTATTCTCCTGAATTAGAAGAAGGTGATAACTATTGCATTTGTTAAACTGATTTGCATTATATTAGACTGCTGATTTATTGTGAATGAATGATATTGTTTTATGATGCATTATACTGCTGAGTTATAAGAAATACTGTTCGCAGAAAGTCATCGCCTTATTTGTCTGATTAGAAGAGAACAGAACATGCTGGAGTTTTCTGCCCCATCTCAACAGGAGCAGATAAACAGGGAGCCAAAGTCGTAACTTAGGCGCTGTGTGAGAGAAAGCATGTGAATGTTTAGGCTTTTATGATAAGGTGGGGGCCACTAGAGGCTATAAGAGTTTGATCAATGCTCCACCATTTTGAGATCTGATGCTGTCTGCGTACGGCATCCATCTCCCACGCGTGTGTTCATTAAAATCATCGTTTGACTCAACCCGGCCGGACCAGTGTTGTTATTGTGGTTTTTCCTCTTGTGTCCATCCCAATATTTGAATCCGTAACAAAATGTTATCAGGAAATGATCAGACAGGGGAGGGTTTTCAGGAAACACTGTTAAATGTTCAGTTTCTATGCCATATATTAACACAAGATCTAGAGTGTGATTAAAGTGGTGGGTGGGTTCTTTTAGATTTTGACAGAAGCCAGTTGAGTCTAGTAACAGATTAAATGCCATGTTCAGGCTGTCATTTTTAGCATCTACATGGATGTTAAAATCACCCACAATAATTATTTTATCTGAGCTGAGAACTAAATCAGATAAAAAGTCTGAGAAATCAGACAGAAACTCTGTGTAAGGCCCAGGTGGACGATAGATGATAACAAGTAAGACTGGTTTCTGAGTTTTACAGCTGGGGTGGACGAGGCTAAGCATCAGGCTTTCAAATGAATTAAAAGTCTGTCTGGGTCTTTGGTTGATTAATAGGCTGGTGTGGAAAATTGCTGCCACACCGCCCCCTCGGCCTGTGCTTCGAGGTTTCTGGTAGTTAGAATGACTCGGGGGTGTTGATTCATTTAAACTAACATAATCATCCTGCTGCAACCAGGTTTCTGTAAGGCAGAGTAAATCGATTTGTTGATCAATTATTAAGTCATGTACTAACAGACACTTTTCTCTTTTCATGTAAATCCCACTGCTAAGATGAATGATTCTAAAAAAAAAAAACTATTTTATGGAGCATAAAAGAGCAAAAACATTTCTAAAATTAAGCAGTTTCCTATCAAAATTGCTTAATAAACATTTATTTTGTTTATTTTTATTTTATTAGTATTTTCCTTAAATGTGTTAAATATATATTTTCTCATCTAAATGTCCACTGAGCTGTGAGCCAGGGGGCGGTAATGCACCTTAACATTGGTTGCCAACCAAGAAGAAGAAGAAGCTGTGAGCCAGGAAGGAGGGGTGAGTGAGTGAGTGAGTGAGTGAGTGAGTGATTCGTTCGCTCGCTCTATGATTCAGCACAGGAGGGAGGGGGTTAGTGAGTCCTGAGTGATTCGCTTAAGCTTATGATTCAGCACAGGAGGGAGGGGGTTAGTGAGTTCTGAGTGATTCGTTCACTCTATGATTCAGCACAGGAGGGAGGGGGTTATTGAGCCCTGAGTGATTCGTTCGCTCTATGATTCAGCACAGGAGGGAGGGGGTGAGTGAGTGAGTGAGTGATTCGTTCGCTATATGATTCAGCACAGGAGGGAGGGGGTTAGTGAGTCCTGAGTGATTCGTTCGCTCTATGATTCAGCACAGGAGGGAGGGGGTTATTGAGCCCTGAGTGATTCGTTCGCTCTATGATTCAGCACAGGAGGGAGGGGGTTGGTGAGTCCTGAGTGATTCGCTTACGCTTACGATTCAGCACAGGAGGGAGGGGGTTAGTGAGTGAGTGAGTGATTCGTTCGCTCTATGATTCAGCACAGGAGGGAGGGGGTGAGCGAGTCCTGAGTGATTTGCTTACGCTTACGATTCAACACAGGAAGGGAGGGGGTGAGTAGCTCAAATGTGTTGTTAGCATGTTAGCAGAGCGATGCTACTGTGAACCGAGGAGCTATTTTCTTGATGTGAGCTTCTAATCAGGGTTTTTTCTTCCAGTTCAGAGCAGAAATGCTTTTGTTAAGAAACTGGCTGTTGTTTGTTCCCCCCGCAATTTTAATTATAAGCTAGATATATTTCTACTAAGCGAATTAGTTTGCTAACAGAAACAGGGATGAGTCAGTGAGTCAGTTGGGCTTGTGAGTCATGATTCACGAGTCAGTAAAGTGATTCTCGAGTATTGAACGATTCGTTCACGAATCGAACATCACTAAACAAGACCAGGTTTCCAATGTTGCCTGCTCTGGCCCCTGGAAGACCATTGACTATGGTTGCCGGTGTCTCTAGCTTCACATGTCTGAGAACAGAATCACCAATTACCAGAGTTTGACCCCCGACGGGTGTGTCGCCGAGTGGGGAAAACGGTTAGACACATGAACAGGTTGGTGGTGTACCTGGGGCTTCTGTTTAAGACTATGCTTCCTCCTCACTGTCACCCAGCCGCCCTCTTTCCCCAGCTGCTTGGGGTCTGCCGGGGAACAGGGAGCGAGGCCTACGCTATCTTGGCTGCACCGCTACAGGGGCCTGGCTAGCTACGGGTGAATGAAGGGTGCGAAGCCGAGTCTCCTCCAGAGCTGCAAATATGCTACATTTGTTACAGATATAATTACTGCTAAAGGAGGCCGAGGAGTAACTAAACATCTGACACAATGAGCAAAAAACTGCAGGACGGACAGGTGAAGAGGCCATGGTGCTAGTGAGTTGGCTATGAGTTAAGCTAAGCTAGCGAAACAGTAAAGACTCAGTGAGTGAATACTTTGGCTATAAATTAGGGAGTGAGTACACAGAAAGTGTGCTTCGGATGAAGCACGTGAAGATTATACTATGGAAAAAATGTATCTTACGGTTTTTAATTAAATTGCCAAGCAGATAAGCTACTCAGAAACACCACTGTGTTTGAGCAGGAACAGGAAGTGATACTCTACCGTAGAGCGAGTTAACACCAAGTGACAGTGCCACCCAAAGGAGCCAAGCAAGCCACCCTGTCCCTCTACTCACTTTTGAATACAGTGATTAATAATCACACCATAGTCACACCAATAACTACGGATTAAATACCAAAGCCCAATATTTATGTACTGAAACCAACTACTCCCACTTGGCAGCGTAAGTAAACATGTGTGTTTAATTTTTCCACTGATTAATTTTTTAGTACTGACTGTGTTTTTTTTTGTTGTTTTTTTTACTGAGTTTGTTGCAAATATTCAGCTTAAAAACACTGTCTGAATAATTGTTAATGAGGTATGTTCACAAAGAAACAGCTCATATGTCAGCAGAACTGTAGAACTGAAAAATGTAAAAGTAGAACTTCAGATCCCGAGTGTGTGAGGACAGAGATGGATCAGCTTTATTTCAGATGCCTTGATGCATGCTCAATCATCCAGGAAAGTAAATCTCCAAAAGTTGATTCTGTTCATCTGGATGCAGCGTTTTCAACGGGAGAAACGTTTTGTCACTCGTCCAAGTGACGTCTTCAGTCTCAGCTGACTACAGGTTTCCCCAAACTTATAAACAGTAAATTTGCACAATGACTGAAACCAGCCCACTGAATGAACAATGGGCTGGGAGGTCAGTTTCTTCATCATAATTATTCAAATTCTCATGACCACTGAGGGAACAATCAGCCCACTCCCGCACCTGGAAATGTACGAAGGTCTAAATATTTATCCAAAGGGCTCACTGAAGATCAGCTGATTTCTACGGGGCAAAAAGTACTTAAACTATTTCAGTTACCCACTATGACCATTGCTGCAGTGCAGGATGAACAGCACTGATGGGGCTCTGATATATTCATGTAATATATCATGACAGAAAGTGCTACAGACTGCTTTCAAAGTTTCATCCTCTGTTAAGTCTAATTGTTGAATGTTGCCATTGTGTTTCTTAAATTTGTACAGTCTTAGTTTAAGCAGCAGGATCGAAGCCATTCCTTTGATCCTGACCACCTCTCCAGCCACTCTGTGCTGGGGGAGGTTTTATTGTAGATACATCCTATCTGAAAGATCTGTTTCTTTCGATGTAAGCTTCCTGGGTTTATGACCCTTTGGTCAGCAGGAGGTCAAACACACACACACACACACACACACACACACACACACACACACACACACACACACACACACACACACACACACACTCTTACAGAAGTTCACACATATACATTTACATACAGTGCCTTGTCTTTGTAACCAAAGGGGGGTTGCAAGGGGAGGTGCTTTGTAAACTATTGTTTGAAGTTTGTCAATAAAAGGCAGCGAGAGGAGGCCATCATTGGGGTCTTTGTCGTGCTGGACACAGATGAGAGGCCTCCCTTGCGCAAGTAATGGATCGATCGACTGTCTTGTTTTCTTCATGATGAATAAGTCTCTAGAATTAGCGGGGTTTGTGGAAACACAGACCCAACATCCTCCACAGCATGTGTCCTGATCAGCAGGCTCCTCTTTGGCTCAGTGTTAAAGTAATTATCTGATTATTCCTGTGAAGCAGTGCCAGAAGCTGCATTGCATTTCCACAGTTGATTGAGATTAAGCCAGACTGAACGTGCAAGCATAGCAGATTGGGCTGCAGTTCTGCTGGACCATGACCAGGAAGAGATGCAGCTCCAACAGACATCTCCAGTACAGGACTAGAGCTTTCCCAGGCACTGAGCAGGAAACAGCACTGAGGTAAGACACGCTACACTGACTATAATGCATGAACATACCTGAACTCTTATACTTAATTACATATTAGGGGAAAAGTTCTTCTCCATTATTTATTGGGTTTTATGAACAGGACAAGAACATTAATAAATTCCATTTATTAAATTAGAGTTTACAGTGGAGGGACTACGGTCCTGCATTGGAGGTCTTTCAGATTATTTAACTTTAAGTTTGTAATCTGTGTTTGGCATTGCAGCCGAGTCCAGGCTAAGAAAACTTAAGTTCCACTGTGAGCTGGAAGAGTCACAACTGCGAAGGGTGAATTATTTTAAGCGTGACGCGAACAAGTTCTAAATCTGCCTCTCGTGCACACTGTTAAATCTCCCAATTCTTTTGATCGTTGGGCTGAAGGAAGGACAATACTCGGTGTATAAATGCTCAATCAACAATCTTTTATTCCATACAATTCAACACTTTATGAGCATAAACCATCCGGATGGGAGATGAGCGCGGGAGGGTGTCCGCCTGATCTCGAAGCGTCTGAGCGTTCCTCACATTCTTATAGCTTCAGCCCCTCCTCCACCTAGTCACAAAGCCTAAACATCCACATTCTTTCTCTCTCAGTAAGTCCAGGTTATGACCTCGGCTTCCTGTGCAGTCTGTCCTGTTCTTTTCTAGTCAGACAAATAAGGTGATGACTCTCTGAAAACAGTATTTCTTATAACTCAGCAGTATAATGCATCATAAACAATATCATTCATTCACAATAAATCAGCAGTCTAGTGTAATACAACTCAGTTTAATAAGTGTAATAGTTTCACCTTCTTCTAAGTCAGGAGAATAATGCAAACTAAAACTACATAATGATTTCACAATCTTTAATTAGGGGTCTAACGTGGCATAAGATAATATAATAATCTCACAACACATACACATCCACACACATGTGCACCTGTCTAAAGACAGATCTGACTTAAACTACAGTCATTTGATTAAATGTTTTGATCTGAAGTATAATAAATGAGGCTTCTGCTCTTTAAACTGTTGTCTCATATTAGCTCAACTTAAACAAATTATATTCCTGCCATCTGTCCTAAAATATCTGATCTCAGGGCCCACACACATCCGTTGCCTGACGTTGGTGTGGATCTCCAAGCAGCTTTGCAACCCATTGAAACCCTTCTTTCATGCTGTGTCTGAATTATTAATTACATATCTGTCATCACTGATGGTTTCATGGATCTTTCTGCTAGTCTCCTCATCAGATTTTCCACCTGATAGAAAAAGATGGTGGGTGTTGGTTCGGAAGGAGAGACATGAAGCCATATTTAAATGACCACAGAGGGAAGCAGTACTTTCCTTAGTGGTCATGATTTGTGGTTGCAGGAAGTGTTGAGATGCTGACTCAGCTGATCCTAGGATGGACTGCGTTGCTAAGCAGCCTCCCGTCGGCTGCTTCCTCTATTACAACAAGTGAGTCAAACACTGGATAACAGTTAAGTCCATAAACACTAACACTTTCTTGCCTCCTAAGGTAAAGCACCCACCTCAGTGAGTTTCAGATTAAACTATTAAGATGTGATTGATACTTCAAATGGCAAGGGCCCTTCGTGGTCACACGACAAGTAGCGGATATTAGGTGGTGTGGTCGAACAAGGGAGGGGCCACACAGATATATCACGTTGACCAAGGAGGTCAACGTGATATATCTGTGCATGGAGAGAGGCTGAAAACACTTCTGTGTTGAGCCTGGTGAAGGAGAGAGCTGAGTTGGGGCCGGAGAAATTAATCAAAAATATTGAAGTAACTTTCTGTTAATGAGCATTTCCCCTACCTGGCAGCTCCATCTTGAACGTCCTTTATTGAATATATCCCCTGTGCAACTTTGTACATGTCCAAACCATCTCAGCCTTGCCCCTTTGTTTCCAAACTGCTCAGGCAGAACTGTTGTGATGAACTCATTGTGGTGTGAATAAGGCATGGCGGGACCACAAATTGTAATTTTGAGCCATTTATTTACACCCAAGCTGCCAGCTGCACATCACACCACAAGACCACTCATAACCCTGCTTTTCCGTGATTTAATGCTGCGGCCGTGACCTGCATCTCCAAACGATACATCATAGCAGGTCTCACTAACATCTTGGACACCTCCCCTTTCACTCTTGCTGCTATTGTTCTGTCACAAATCGCCCCTGACACTCATCTCCACCCACTCCACCCTACCTGCTCTTTCTTCTTGACCACTCTTGTGCACTATTGCCTTAGATGGCTGACTTCAGGTATGTAAACTCATCTATCCTTATTACCTCTCTTCCTTCCATGTTCACCTTTCCACCTGTCTCCCTCTCGTTCACACTAGAGATGGCACGATACCACTTTTTTATGTCCGATACCGATATCATAAATTTAGATATCTGCTGATACCAATATGAATCCGATATAGTGTATTTTTTAATTGTTTATCTGCTGGTTTCCTCTTTCTGGTGTAAAGTGAGCCAAAAACAAACAAGAGAGACGGAGTCGCGACAGAAGAGCCGATCAGATGATCATTGATCAGTTTTATGAATGAAGTAGCAGCAGGAGAGGGAGAGAGAGAGAGAGAGAGAGAGAGAGAGAGAGGCAGTTGCTCCATATATCGGTTGTTAAGCTTAACGCTGGAATGCTTTTCTGGCAGATCAAGGACCTCAGTCGCCTCAAAAAATAGAGACGACTCTGGCCCTTCCTGTAAAGTGCTGTGGTGTTTTTAGCCCAGTCCAGTTTATTGTCAATGTGTACTCCAAGGTATTTATAGTCCTCCACAATGTCCACACTGACCCCCTGGATTGAAACAGGGGTCAAGTGTTTCCTGGTCTTCCTGAAGTCCACGATCAGTTCCTTGGTCTTTGCCACGTTGAGCTGCAGATGATTCTGCTCACACCACGTGACAAAGGAGTCGACCACAGCCCGGTACTCTGTCTCATCATCCCTGCTGATGCATCCAACCACCGCAGAGTCATCAGAAAACTTCTGAAGATGGCAGGTCTCTGTGCAGTGGCTGAAGTCTGTGGTGTAGAGGGTGAAGAGGAAGGGGGAGAGGACAGTCCCCTGTGGTGCCCCTGTGTTGCTGATCACCTTGTGTGGGAGACACACACACTGTGGGAGACGTACATATTGTGGTCTTCCTGTCAGGTAATCAACAATCCAGGACACCAGAGAAGCATCCACCTGCATCGCTGCTAACTTATCACCCAGGAGGGTCGGCCTGATGGTGTTGAAAGCACTAGAAAAGTCAAAAAACATGACCCTCACAGTGCTCGCCGGCTGGTCCAGATGGGTGTAGACACGATTGAGCAGGTAGATGATGGCGTCCTCAGTTCCGAGACGAGGCTGATAAGTGAACTGAAGGGGATCCAGGTGTGGTCTTACTATGGGTCGCAGCTGGTCCAGGATGAGCCTTTCCAGGGTCTTCATGATGTGGGAGGTCAGTGCCACGGGCCTGTAATCCTGGGGGCCACTGGGACGTGGCGTCTTTGGTACAGGGACGAGGCATGATGTCTTCCACATCACCGGGACCCTCTGCAGACTCAGACTCAGCATAAACAGTTTATGAAAGACTCCACACAGCTGGGGGGCACAGGTCTTGAGGACGAGGGGACTCACTCCGTCTGGTCCAGCAGACTTGCCTGAGTGAAGTCTCCTCATTTGCATCTCAACCTGGTATTGAGTGAAGGTGATGGGTGGGGGAGGGGTGTCAGGAATCTCACAGGAGGCAACATGTGAAGAGAGAGGCTGGCACAGTGGTGTGGCTCTGGATTCCAGGCTGACTACAGGTGAGGTTGTGGGGGTGGGAGCAGACACTGTGGTGTCGAATCTATTGAAAAACAGATTCAACTCGTTGGCTCTATTCTCACCTCCCTCAGCTCCCCTGCTGTTGGTTGGCCTGAATCCAGTAATGGTCTTCATGCCCCTCCACACCTCTCTCATGCTGTTCTGCTAGAGTTTCCACTCCAGCTTCCTCCTGTAATTGTCCTTAGCCTCTCTGATCTTGTCCTTTAGTAACACCTGGACCTTCCTCACCTCCTCTTTATTGCCCCCTCTGAAAGCCCTCTTCTTGTTGTTGAGGAGGGCTTTGATGTCCTTAGTCACCCACGGCTTGTTATTTGGGTAACAATGAACAGTCTGAGCTGGAACAATGGAGTCGGTGCAGAAAGTTATGTAGTCTTTGATACACTCAGTAAGCCCATTGATGTCCTCGGCGTGAGGCTCACAGAGTGTCTCCCAGTTGGTCACCTCAAAGTAGCCCTGTAGTTCCGCTATTGCCTCCTCTGACCACCTCCTAAAATTTTCTCTCCCCTGGTGGGACAGTCCACATATTGTTTGAATGTTGTTAGTGTATTGTCCAGTGATACATGGTTGAAGTCACCCGAGATCACAATAAAGGCACTCGGGTGCTGAGTCTGTAGCCGAGCTATGGCAGAGTGGATAGTGTCACATGCAGCTGTGGGGTTAGCAGAGGGAGGAACATAAACAGCCACCAAGATGACGTGAGAGAATTCCCTGGGTAAATAATACGGCCTGAGTCCAACAGCACACAGTTCAATGTCCGGGCAACAAATCTTTTCTTTGATTGTTATGTTGGCAGGGTTACACCACCGGTTGTTAACTAAAACAGCAAGCCCACCTCCTTTCCGCTTACCGCTAGCGATGCTGTCCCTGTCCGCCCGAACAGTGTGGAAGCCTTCCACGGAAGCATTCTCTTCGAGAATGTCCTGGTGCATCCATGATTCGGTGAAACACATCAGGCTACACTCTCGGTATTCCCTCTGACTCCGTACGAGTGCTGAGAGCTCGTCGATTTTATTTGCCAACGATCGCACATTTCCCATCACGATAGACGGCAGACACGATTTATAGCTCCTCCTCACTTCGAGCCTCCGCTGTCTCACCGTCTCCTTCTTTCTTCTCTTCTGTCCTTGACCTCTGCATCCCCGATGTGTTTTCCTCCAAATATCAGCTGGTACTTCTACGGGCCTGGCCAGCGAGCCGGCCGGCATCAGGGCGATCAGCTCATCTCTGGAGTAAACAGTCCGTCCTCTCTTGGCTCTCTCTCTCTATTATCTGCGTTCTTGAGAGCCACAAAGAGTCAGTGAGACTCTTTCTGACCTTCTCCATTCTTCTCCATCAACACTCTCAAAGCAAACATCACATAGAGCTCTTTCTTGATAGGGAGCCACACTGCTGCTCACTGATTGTCACCTCTCTTCTCAGCCTAGCTTCCACAACACTTTACTTTATCTTCATAGTATGTGTCATTAACTTTAACCTGTGTAGTTACTAGAGCTCTGCATATCACCCTTGCTCTTGAACATCAGTTTCAGTGCCTTGATGCATGCTCAGTCATCCAGGTAAGTAAACCCCAAAAGTTGATTCTGTTCATCTGGATGCAGCGTTTCCAGTGGGACAAATGTTTCGTCACTCATCCAAGTGACTTCTTCAGTCTCAGCTGACTGACATTACATTTTAATAATCAACGAATTGACCTCCCAGCCCATTGTTCATTCAGTACTGCTGGTTTCAGTCATTATGCAAATGTACTGTTTATAAGATTGGGGAAACCAGCAGTCAGCTGAGACTGAAGACGTCTCTTGGATGAGTGCCGTGTTTCTCTCACTGAAAACGTCCAGATGAAAAGAATCAACGTTTTGGGATGGGTACCAGTACATTTCTTTTCCATTCCTCGGGCATGAGGACTGTGGTGAACAGTCTGGTTAAACAGCCTAAAAGGTCTGCTGCCCTCTCTCCTAGAAATCTGCCAGCCACCTTTCCACTCTTCATTCTCTTCACAGCGGCCCACACGTGTGCAGGGCATTAGCAAGGAGGAAGTGTGGGCCGCTATGAAGAGAATAAAGAGTGGAAAGGTGGTTGGTGACTGCACATGCAGCAGCATGACTGCTGTGCAGACAAGTCAGACAGTGAAATATACAAATCAAGAATCAATGCCCCACAATATTTAATGTCTGAGCCACAGAGCCTTGATCATAGGACCACTCTGGATAACATGATGTCATGGATGGTACGTAAAATCAAAACACAAGATGTGATTTGTTTTAGAAAGTGTTTTTTACTTCACATACTGCCTAAAACCGTCACTATGTCATGATTATAGATCTGATTGATCTCAGTGCCCTCCTTTCCCAGAATGCACAGGGAACACAGTAATTAACATGATTTTTGTACTCTCTGCCTGTGCAGGATTCCCATCCAGCAGAGGCAGCAGGTGGTCAGTTTCAAAATGTGAAGTCTTCATCACTCCTCCTCTTCCACCACCTATGTTTCCTCCAATCAAATGGAAAGCAGAGCTAATGGTGATGATCTCCCTCCTCTCTGTTACCCACAAATTAGCTTTGTTTTAAAATTATTCCTTCAAGACTTTCTTCAGGAATAAATGTTTCAAACCCTTTAGCCTTTAGCCCAACCTGTAGCACCCACATTGATTCATTCAAAGAAAGAAAAGGTGTGAGAATTGAAGCATGATGTAAAAGAACTCGTTTTTTGTAATTTCTCTGTAACTCTCCAGGTTGACATAACAGAACACATCACAGGACCTAAAGGAGAAAAAGTATGCAGGACCATCTTTTTACATATTTAACCCCCCGCCATATGTACTGTTACGGTAATGGTACTGTTACTGTTGCAGGGCTGTAGGGGAGCCAGAGGATCGAAGGTACAGTGTAAGACAGTTATCCCATCTTTTCAGGCTCATAAATACTGCATGTAAGATGTCATGAAAGCAAAAGCTAACTGGTGAGTGTATTTCAGGGTCAGCTTGGTGTGTTAGGTCCAGAGGGAGAAGGTGGAATGCAAGGAGCCATGGGACAGCCAGGTCAAAAGGTTATACAAAGTCCGTCCATACAGACATACACCACAACACTGACTGCATGGTCACTACATGGTCAAGGAAAGACTTGCTCTGATCAAATAAAAACAGAAATTACTATTTAATTTAAGAGCTAAAAAGAACTAAAATGAGGAGAAAAGAAGAAGTTCTGGTTTCTTCTTGTTAAAAGGGAGTTTTTCCTTCCCACTGTTGCCAAAGCGCTTGCTCACAGGGGGTCATATGATTGTTGGGTTTTCTCTGTATGTATTATTGTAGGGTCAATATAAAACGCCTTGAGGTAACTGTAGTTGTGATTTGGCGCTGTAACGAAAACTGAACTAAAATGTCAGGAGTGTAAAAGTAATGGATAAAGAGACCTAACATGTAAAATAGAGAATTGCAGAGAATTGAAACAGTGGTGAAAAAATGAAAAAGAAACTATTTGTGTAACACAAAGTTCATGTCTTCAGTAATGCGACTGTGTGACTAAGAACTCTGAGGTGTGCATTTATGCAATAATAAAGTCATATCCTGTATTTGTAAAGCTATGACTAATAAACGGGTAAACAGCCTGTATTTGTATAGTGCTTTACTAGTCCCTAAGGACCCCAAAGCGCTTTACACATTCAGTCATCCACCCATTCACACACACATTCACACACTGGTGATGGCAGCTACATTGTAGCCACAGCCACCCTGGGGCGCACTGACAGAGGCGAGGCTGCTACTTACATATTTACATTAAGGACAATGGTTACTATAAGCAGAGTACTGTACAGTCATTAAATTAAATAAAAATAACTACAGACAAGAGGCAAAGCAGGTTGTAGTGTGAATCGGTTGATTAAATTATTGCAGTTACAGCGCAGATGGACTGACAATGACAATTGCCCCAATATAATTCCCACTGCACCCTGCACGTGACACTGAGGCACTTCAGGGTTTTTTTCTTTGGCCCAAGGTCCCTGATGAAAATAAAAAGCTTCATTTATGGACATACAGGGTGGGGCATTTGTTCTTGGTTTGCTGTTGGCTGCCAGGGTTGATTTTGTTATTAATCATGGTTGTAATGCTTGTGCTACCTGTTATTTCTTGTGCACACCAAGGTCTTTCAATAAGTATAAAAGACTCATCTTATACAGTTTAGGTCATTGTGACACAAGACCCAAACACACACGGGTTATGCTTAGTGTCTTTTTATTTTGGAAATAACCTTTGGCACCTGCCTCGGACGCAGCCACTCCCTCCCAGCATCATCTGCTCCATCTCACTGTGGGCACACAAGACATCTCCCTCATTAACACTGTCCCGTACACCTGTTGCCTCTCCTCCTCCGTGCCGCCCAGAGTTCACTATGTCACCCCTCCTCTGCAGCAGGCCAGCAAACCACGCCCCCGCCACAGTCATCCTTTAAAAAGGGGCAAAGTTTCATGTTTTTACAGGAAACACCGAGCATAGAAAACATATCACTAACTTGATTTCTCAGGTGTATCAGTCGCCTTTCCATCCAAAGCCAGATAGGTTTTAAGAATATTAGATGTGATAGACATCATCAATGTTCCATTTATTGAAATAATGTATAAATCTAAATGTTTACACAGTGAAAATATGAGCTGATATGAGTCAATGTTTCCACAGGGAGAGAAGGGAGACAGAGGCTGGAGGGGCCTGTATGGAGATATAGGAACTCCTGGGATGATGAAGGTACATTAAAGGCTGGATATATTATTTATATGACTAACCAGCCAGTAGCCATAGTATATACTACCTGATTTAGGACACATCTCATAAATTACATTAAAGACTGTGCTGAATAGATGAGTTCGTCCTGCCCACATGCAGACATATATGTTATTCACACTCATCCCGACTCCTGTCTGGAAACCAAACAGCAGTTTCCCATTTGTATTTTGTTTTAATGCTACTGATACTAAGCTCCTTTGTGTGTTTATGTAGGGCAATAAGGGGCAAAGCGGATTCAGTGTAAGTGTTTTTTCTTTTTTTACTGTTATACATTTATACATATGTTCCGATGACACTTGCTATTTTTATTGTTCAGGGTGATAAAGGTGTCAAAGGAAAAACAGGCCTGGAGGGAGTGAAGGTGAAGAAATCAAAAGAAGAAAAAACATTGCTCCTGTTAGACATTATGTGACTGCGTTGGCTGATGAATCTGTGCGTCTCTGCAGGGGGAGCGTGGCATCCCTGGAAACCCAGGACAGAAGGTGAAGAACTGGCTGAGACACATTCGGTGAAAATCTCTGGCTGTGCAGTATGTTAAGGCCATTCTGTTGTGCTGGTGCAGGGAGACCCAGGCCAATGGGGCGCTGCAGGGAAAAGGGGGGAGGAGGGATCCAGAGGAAAGCCTGGGGACAGGGGGAGCACGGTAGGCACGAAGAATGAAACACAGAGTGTGTGCATGGTGGGAAACCCTGCAAGGGGTTGGCAGTGCTAGAGTCGGAAGAATGACACACAAGTGTGTGTGTGTGTGTGTGTGTGTGTGTGCGTGCGTGCGTGTGCGTGCGTGTGTGTGTGTGTGCGTGCGCGTGCGCGTGTGTGCGCGTGCGTGTGTGCGTTTGATATTGTTCCCATTGCATTCATGCCTTTTTGTTTAAAGAGCTGCCTGTTGAAACAAAAGCTAGCTGTGAGGTAGGCGTTTACTAAACGTCTACTAACCGTGAAGTTTTGTACCGACTTCATCCTTTGACACACACACATATCTGAAAAACTGCTTAGTAGATTCATATATTTAAAAAGGCACCTATTTTCTAAATATCATTTTGTTGATGTGAAACTTCTTACCTCTCACTGTCCACAGACATTTGCTGCTTGGTTACCTTTAATAGGATATAGCTGAATGTAAGAAGTTTGTACCTCAGTTTGTCTGCTGCATGCAAACCAAATGAATGGAGTGATCACTGTGTGCAGGGGCCGAAGGGATCTCGTGGGCCCAAAGGGTTTCAAGGTCATCTTGGTCATGCAGGGCGTCATGGTCAGACTGGAGAACCTGGACTTCCTGGACAAGGTTTGTGACAACACGTGTATCAGTTTTGATCTACTTTAAAGTGCATGTAAATATATAGTCATGATATTGGTACAGAAGATGAAGATTTATAAAGTTGTATTTAAATTTCATTTCACCAGAGAAGTCTGATTGAGGTTAGGAACTGCTTTTTAGACAGTGACGGCATCAGGGAGGCATGAAACTGTGCTGAAGAAACTATGTTCTGTAATGTAATGATTTATGTTACAGAGAATACTCCCATCTACATCTCTACACGGTATAAAAATGTATATAATTACTTTTTGTTTCTTTGATCACGCCTTATTGTGTGACATTGTTTTTTCCAGATGTTTGCACAACCACTAAAGCCACAAGAACCATTTTAATGCTGCAGGTTTATATAACCTGTAATAATCCTTTCATGCAGCGTAATAATCGGTATAAAACCACACTTTAGTTCACACTTCATTTCATCACTGTTTACATGTTTAAACAAAAACTTCCTGGAGCGTCTGCAGTTTATCCAAAACACTGCAGCAAGGCGAACCATCGAAGTATTCACACACGTGACACCGCTGCTGATACAGCTGCACTGGCTCCCCATCGAGTCCATTTCAAGATTCTGGTTCTGACCTTCAGAGCTCTTCATGGACAAGCACCAGCTTACATCATTAAAGGTCTGCAGCCCTGTGTCCCCAGCAGCTCCCTGAGGTCATGTGATCAGGGCCTACTTGTTATTCAGTGTACAAGGCTGAGAACTGAGGGAGACAGAGCTTTAGCCCCTGTGGCTCCCAGACTGTGGAACTCTCTCCCACTGAGCGTAAGATGTGTGGACTCGGTAGTTTCTTTTTAGAGCTGCATTTTGTCTGTTTCTGTTTTATACTTTGTCATCCTTGTGTCAAGCACTTTTTGATCTTTTATCTAGAAAGGTGCTATATAAATAAAGTTTTACTTAGTTACACATTATTTAATAGGGCAATGTCGTTCAGGCCAACGACGCAAGCATGGAGCAGTCATACATACCCAGAAAGGATAAAGCTGTGACATGATGGCCTTGTTGAAACCACTTAAAATATAAACTTGTTGGCAGAAAGCTGATTATGCCTTGTGTTTTCTTAGTGTATATCCTACCAGGCATGGAGGGAGAAACAGGAAACCCAGGTCCTCCAGCCACATGCAACTGTTCACAGGTTCAGAGCCCACAACGATTGGTGGACAGCGTGCACACGGTCAGTGTCACACTCTGGTTAAACTGTATTACTCTGCTGGGGAGTAATCTTTACACCATCTCATCCCAGTGCATTTTTTAAAGCAAGACTTTTGTTTTATTGGATCTGAAAGAGTGTGGAGCAGCACACCCACAGCAACACAGACAAATGGACCAGAATTCACACATGCTAGCTTACCATGGACCTTCTATGAAATGTGATTCTAGCTATGATGACCCAGCAGCTCTGGATTCCTCATTTTGAAACCACTGCCACCAGTAAGCTTTAAACAAGTCACAGAATAGTTCTGCATGCCATGAGGTTCATGTGCTTGTTCAGTTACATGTTCAGTTAGGCTGTAATCGAATTTCTAATTTGTAAACAAAGCAATTCTTGCATGACTGCTCGTGTTGTGACAGCTGTCAATCAAAGCAGCAGCAATCCTTGGTCCAAACACAGGAGCTATAAATGTTTTCACCCCACGTGCAGTTGTCATGACGAGGAAAACAGCTGGAGACCTGGACTTTGTACCGTTGTGGAAACAAATCCTTTTGACCTCAGCAGGCTCATGTGTCACTCTGCAGGTGTTTGTTGCGGATGGAGAGAAAGCGATGAGAAGGCTGCGCGTGGAGAATGTGATGGTGCTTCGCACGGACAAAAAGGCTCTGTACATCTACACTGAGTCTCAGTGGATCAACGTATTGGTAACACACAGCAACAATTGAATGGAAACACAAGATCCAACACACAATACACAACTGTCTGATGTTTAATGAAGAGTCTCTGTGTTGCTCTCTGTCCACACAAACACACGATTTGAGTGTTTCTTCTTCCACATACTGAAGCTTTAAATTATTATTGATTATGATAATGATTATTCTTTTTTTTTTATTTTGGCAACAAGCACAAATCGGTGTAGCCCATATATCAACAGCTACGCAGCTCGAAGTGGGGGGCAGGCTTTAATAGCAGTCACAGTGTCGTCTTTTCTGTGTGTTTTCCCTGCATGGAGCAGCAGGATCCCCGACACTGACGGCATACTGAAGCTGAACCAGACCTCCAGCCTCAGCTGTCCATTAGCAGCGTCTGACCAGCTCCTCTAACATTTACAAGCATTCCCTTGGATTTGTGTGACCACTCTAATATGACCTATAAATATCCTTTTGTGAAAACTCGAGCTGAAAGGTTTTTTCCACCAAGTTGGTGTTGTGACACAAACAGAAGTCACTTAAAATAATGTTCCTGTATCGTTTACCTTTCCAGACCTGGAAGCTATGCCTGTCTTTTGTCTCAACTGATGATTTATGCATGCATCATTTAAAAGCACTTAAACAAGTCTTCATCATAACACACCAAAAGGAAAGTGTTTCTTTCTTGTGATGCTGCAGTGATCCACCTCCTACAAAGAGCTCAATAAAAACAAATACTTTGTCTTACCTTGTTGTGAACATGCTTGTTTGTTTGCTGCGATTAACAACCTGCTCTGCCACCTGATCTGCAGCCACACCTACAGTGGGGCAAAAAAGTATTTAGTCAGCCACCGATTGTGCAAGTTCCCCCACCTAAAATGATGACAGAGGTCAGTAATTTGCACCAGAGGTACACTTCAACTGTGAGAGACAGAATGTGAAAAAAAAATCCATGAATTCACATGGTAGGATTTGTAAAGAAGTTATTCGTAAATCAGGGTGGCAAATAAGTATTTGGTCACCTCAAACAAGGAAAATCTCTGGCTCTCACAGACCTGTAACGTCTTCTGTAAGAAGCTTTTCTGTCCCCCACTCGTTACCTGTATGAATGGCACCTGTTTGAACTCATCATCTGTATAAAAGACACCTGTCCACAGCCTCAAACAGTCAGACTCCAAACTCCGCCATGGCCAAGACCAAAGAGCTTTCGAAGGACACCAGGAAAAGTATTGTAGACCTGCACCAGACTGGGAAGAGTGAATCTACAATAGGCAAGCAGCTTGGTGTGAAAAAATCAACTGTGGGAGCAATCATCAGAAAATGGAAGACATACAAGACCACTGATAATCTCCCTCGATCTGGGGCTCCACGCAAGATCTCATCCCGTGGGGTCAAAATGATCATGAGAACGGTGAGCAAAGATCCCAGAACCACACGGGGGGACCTGGTGAATGACCTGCAGAGAGCTGGGACCAAAGTAACAAAGGTCACCATCAGTAACACACTACAACGGCAGGGAATCAAATCCCGCAGTGCCAGACGTGTTCCGCTGCTGAAGCCAGTGCATGTCCAGGCCCGTCTGAAGTTTGCCAGAGAGCACATGGATGATACAGCAGAGGATTGGGAGAATGTCATGTGGTCAGATGAAACCAAAGTAGAACTTTTTGGTATAAACTCAACTCGTCGTGTTTGGAGGAAGAAGAATACTGAGTTGCATCCCAAGAACACCATACCTACTGTGAAGCATGGGGGTGGAAACATCATGCTATGGGGCTGTTTTTCTGCCAAGGGGACAGGACGACTGATCCGTGTTAAGGACAGAATGAATGGGGCCATGTATCGTGAGATTTTGAGCCAAAACCTCCTTCCATCAGTGAGAACTTTGAAGATGAAACGAGGCTGGGTCTTCCAACATGACAATGATCCAAAACACACCGCCCGGGCAACAAAGGAGTGGCTCCGTAAGAAGCATTTGAAAGTCCTGGAGTGGCCTAGCCAGTCTCCAGACCTCAACCCCATAGAAAATCTGTGGCGGGAGTTGAAAGTCCGTGTTGCTCGGCGACAGCCCCAAAACATCACTGCTCTCGAGAAGATCTGCATGGAGGAATGGGCCAGAATACCAGCTACTGTGTGTGCAAACCTGGTAAAGACCTATAGTAAACGTTTGACCTCTGTTATTGCCAACAAAGGTTATGTTACAAAGTATTGAGTTGTATTTTTGTTATTGACCAAATACTTATTTTCCACCCTGATTTACCAATAAATTCTTTACAAATCCTACCATGTGGATTCATGGATTTTGTTTTCACATTCTGTCTCTCACAGTTGAAGTGTACCTCTGGTGCAAATTACTGACCTCTGTCATCATTTTAGGTGGGGGCACTTGCACAATCGGTGGCTGACTAAATACTTTTTTGCCCCACTGTACATACATAGCCTTCCAATTTTCAAAACAGTTGTCAAACTTATGATTGTCACATTGAGGTGAGATTTGTAAAACTAACCTGGTTACACTCTCTTAACAAGGAAACGTCCATATAACTGCAAAACATGGAAATAGTTTCTTTTGCTTGCCTGTCTTCAGCTCTCTTTGCTGGCTTCTAATGGACCACATCCCCACAGTGTTTCTGTCAGTAACATGACTGAGCATACACAGTTTCTCAGAGAGAAAGATTGGCAGAGGTTCACCAAGCTGCAAAAAACTGTCTACATCATCAAACACCAGGCGACGGCTGTTCTCAGATGTTAAAGACGGGTGGGTCCTACACTATGCTAAACACGGCTCTCCTCAATGTTTTATGTTGGTGCCATCAAATTCAAAAGGAACTTATGGGCTCAAATTGTGGTCATAAATATTTTGTACTTGTAAATCAGTTTTGTATGTGTAAAAAGATTTGTGTGTGGACTTAGCCAGAAAATATGTGTGAAACTGCACTCTAGTTTCAAGTTACAAGTATGAATTTTGACCCTATTTTTCTTCCTTTCAGCTGATTGGTCAATGTCATGTCAATCACAAATTTAACAATCCAATCAGAGAACAGATGGGTTTTCTGTCAGAGGGGTGCTATTTTGAACTGTAGGTCTTATGGGCGATCGTGGCTCAAGAGTTGGGAGTTCGCCTTGTAATTTGAAGGTTGCCGGTTCGAGCCCCGGCTTGGACAGTCTCGGTCGTTGTGTCCTTGGGCAAGACACTTCACCCGTTGCCTACTAGTGGTGGTCAGAGGGCCCGGTGGCGCCAGTGTCCGGCAGCCTCGTGTCCGGCAGCCTCTGTCAGACATATCATGTCTGACAGAGGAAAACTCTACAGAACTAAACCAGATGTAGTACAGATGAACTTTATATAGACAAAGCAAAATGTGCCTTCATTAGTTCAAGGGCTAAATGGATTGTCGTTGTTGTTGTTGGACCAACAGACTATCAAAAACTATATTAATAAACAATTATATTAATATTTCTATTCAGCCCTCTACACTACAAATTATTCCAGTTCAGAAACCAATTCTTTTTTTAGTTCTATCCGGGGAAAAATCCTCAAATTGATACGTACTTTAAAATTCTCAATGAGTCTGAAATCACTTTGGCTGAATTGGATGCTGCTGTTTCCCAAATGGCGAGTGGTAAATCACCAGGTCCCAACAGAATCACAATTGAATTTTACAGACATTGTGACATTAAAGATTACTAGAGGTATTTAATGAATGTATAAATGATCACATGCTTTCTCCAACTATGAAACGAGGAATAATTTCTTTACTTCCTAAACCAAACAAGGACTAGTTTATGCAAGTTAGCTCATGTTTATGCCAACAGATTAAAAACAGGAATAACTCAAATAATAGACGAGACACAGTCAGCCTTTATAAAAGGACGTCATATCCACCATCATACCCGTTTAGTATTAGATATGTTGGATTACAATTATTTAATTCCTCATGATAGCCTTATTTCCTGATTTCTTTAAAGCTTTTGATTCTTTGGAGCATAATTTTTTGTTTAAAGCTCTGGAGTCTGTGGGTTTTGGTCCCAGATTTGTTAGTGTAGTGAAAATGTTGTGCAAAGATATAACAAGTAGTATTGCACTCGATCAAGGGTTTTCTAATAGTTTTAAAATGAATCGTGGCTAATAGTAATGCCCTATTAGCCCGTTATTGTTTATTGTTGCAGCCGAAATGCCATTTATATCAAACTCTCTTCAGATCTGGAAGGAATAAACATTCTTGATAAAGAATTTAAAATTTGCTGATGACACGGCCTTATTTCTAAAGAATGTAAATATGGTCTCTATTGCAATTAATAAAATCCTTTCATTCTCAAAGCATCCGGCTTAACACTAAACCTTAAAAAATGTGAAACCTTATTTAAATCAGACTGGTATGATAGCGGTGTGTGTTTGTTGTTGATCTGCTTGATAAAAACAGAAACTTGCTATCTTATGAAGAATTTATTGATAAATATAAAATAGACGTTTCATTTAATAATTATAATGTTTGTAAAGCGATACCCACACCACTGTTAAATCTTATCGTGAATACTTGAAAGATTTCACTAATAAGAACATGCTCACCTTCACTGACGATAGGTAATACCTCAATAAAGGACAAACAATTTAATCTCTAATACCTGTAAGCAAACAGTATTCTGTAACTATAATGTCAATGTCAGACATGACCTCGATAACACGTTGAAAGAAAAGTCATTTTCTTTTTACCTAAAGTAGCCACCTGTGCCTAAAATGAAAGAAACACTTCTTATCTGACATTTATCCAGTTGGAGAACTCCTGTATAAAAGGTTTAATTTAGAGGCCGACTCTTTTCTGTTCTTCCGATCCAGAAACATTAGAGCATCTATTTTTCACTTGTCAGTATGTTGATGCTTTTTGGTTTGAAATACTCTGTTGGGTTTCACTCAGATTTTCCAATACACCTTCCTTCACATCTAAGGATGTTCTTTACTTTATGGACAACCTGGACTCTGAAATCTCAGATGTTGTCAGTTTTGTAATAGTGCTGTGTATTTTATTCATTCATGTAAGTGGAAGATGCCTCTCCTCTGTTTACCATCTTCTTGAATTACTTTTGTCAATATTTTAAGTCACTCAAGCTTATTTCAAATATGAATAAAAAGACTGCTGTACTATGCTGTAAAATCACAAAGTACTTGCTATTCTAATGTTCCTGCTTGTGTCAAAAGGTCCATGTTCCTTATTATTTTACCGTAGAAACTTTTATTTTCTCCCAGTAAAGTTATGACTTGCTTCACCATCTTTATAATGTAAATTGTTACAATTCTGGTCTGTTTCCTTGACTTGTTTTGTATATGAGAATTTCTTTCAATAAAGGTTTAAAAACAAAAAAAACCCTGCAGGACACCAGCACTCGAGGCCTGGAGTTGCCCACCCCTGCTATAGACAAACTACACTTTTTGCTGATCAACTTGATCAACTCATTTTGTGGATGTTTTATAAACAAAGACTGCAGCATAAATGTAATATCACACACTTTAAGCATACAGCACTGTGTGCATTTCGTTGCATCAGTTTACCCTCTAACAGGCATGCTCATGATGGAGTTCTGCTAGCTTGCCAGAAACATGGATCCACACACTAACACGGCTTACAGACCTGTGTACAAACGTTCAGATGTGCACACGTTTGAATCATTTCTCCTTTATTTTAAATGCAACAGCAGTCGTGACACCAAACAGCTCTGCTGGGTGTCCTTGAGCAAGACATTTTCAAGACATCAATCAGCGTCAAACTGTATCTCGAGTGTCGCTGAAACACACCGAGTGAGTACTTTCCTGCAGGGCAGTGGGTTATAGAAGTATTTCTCTCAGGTGAATCCCTCCAAACTCCCCAACAATATCACAAAACAGGTGGTTGAAATGTTAAAACAAACTTAAACCATTTTCTCACCATAATTACAAACCGGAGGGGAAAACAACTGAAAGCTGAGATGATTGCCAAACTGGGGCAGGAATATCATATTTTTGGCATCTGTGCTGGTGCAGTGGTGGTGACATGTCATGCAGAGGATTTTCATCATTTCATTCAGGATTAAAAACTGGAAGGTAGAGACAGAGTGAGGTTAAGCGGCACATGAAATAGAAAAGAAAGATCAGAAAATGGATTTAAAAACTTTATCAAAAATGACAGAGCAAGTTTCAGTAACTATAAGAGTGGAAGGATGAGACGAACGACTTGACTGACCTGAAACGTCCTGCTGCTACTCTAACCACATGTACCCTCTGACTACTACCAGAAGACATGTTGCTAAAAACAGAGTCATTCATGTGTGACTTTATCTACTGACTTACAAAGGCTAACTGCGATAGCTGACTAGTGTCATGGGTTGTATCCACACTCTTAGCACCAGAGAAGTGTATTTTTTTAACAGGGTGCTCTTTCCTCGTGTCAGGCAGTGCTGAAAAATATCCGCAATCATTTCCCACAGCCCCCAAAATATTATTTTAACCAAACGTTAACCCCAAATGTTTGTACATGTGGGTGGGATCCTGCAACCAGTGAATCTTGTAGGTGAACAGTTCACAGAGCTGTCACCTTAATCTGATAGATATTTCAACTCCAAAGGTTAACATCAGGGCTCAGTGTGAACAGTGTTACTGTTTAAACAGGGCTCAAAAGACTTGCAGTTGACTGAAGCCCCATCTATTCTTTAAAACAAAAAACCACCACCAGGGGGCGCAAAAGTAAATAGAAAAGTGAAATTGTGCATTTCATGGTTCTATGAGTTAATTGCACCTGAACCTGTCCTAATAGAAGCTGTTGTTATTTTCAAAAGCACGTTCCAGCAATGGAACATTAAGGCCAACAGAGAGCTGTGCTACTCTCGGTCATCCTATCAGGTTGTTGCCCCATAAAAGCTCGAGATGAGTGTTTTTTGGCTACATCGTCACACAAAGATGCTAGTGAGTATGTCACAGATCATACGAGTCCAGGCTTTAGGGTGGTCAGGGCGTGATGTAAACACAATGCTTTTAACAGTTAGCATGTTGCTTTTCAGGCACTTGTTCCCAGCATATCCTTTAGTGTTTGATTACTTTAGTGGTCGCACACTTTCGCTAACTAACAAAGTGACTGAAGAGTTAAAACAACACACACTCGTACAGTCTTCTTTCATTGGTGGACTGTTAGGCTTGGGCAGCATCTTTGTCATATTTTACCAGGTTATTTCATGTTTGGATTTTTTCTATGTACTTTGTCTGCATCTCGCCCCCACCCTGACCCCAGCTTGCACAGTGGGAAAGTAGCATGTAAATTTCACTCAGCCATGACCCAGAAAAAACTAATTACTGACACTGACACAGCTTACACATGGAAGGCTAGCATCAGCTGGTGCTAGGACTTCAAACATTAGTCACACGCGGGGTGGTTTTCTTACTGTGAGATTGCTGCATCAGTCTACATCAGCGGTCCCCAACCCCTGGGCCTCGGACCGGTACCGGTCCGTGAGTTGTTTGGTACCGGGCCGCGAGAGTTGAGGCTCAGGTGTGAAATGTATAGTTTTCAGGGTTTTTATCGGTTTTCAGCGTCATTTTGTTATCGTTTTTATCGTTAACTCTGTTTTCCTGGGTCTTTTCACGTGTGTTATGAATAAATCTTCTTTTTTCGGTACCGGTACTAGTTTTATTTTGTTGTATTTATCCGCGACACCTTAAAGGCCAGTCCACGAAAATATTGTCGGGCATAAACCGGTCCGTGGAGCAAAAAAGGTTGGGGACCTCTGGTCTACATTATAATTTCCATTTAACCCATTTCCATTGAAGCTGGCTGCATGAGCACATTTGATGAAAGAGAGGCAGGTCTGACTGTGAAACGCTCTTCGGCTAAGGACTTGTCAGTTACAAGTATACCTGATAAACACAGCATGACAAGGATTTACATAATGAACTTAATGAATGAACTTTTTCTTCAATAGGACCAAAACGAGTGGCTGAGTGCCTTGTACTTGTGCGGGCAAAGACGTTACAGTGTGACGATATTCTGTGAGGACAGTGGTGACAGCGGGGGGGATGACTTCCTTTTAACAGGAAGACCTCTACAACATTGAGGGAGGCCCACCAACAAAAATGTGGTGATTGTGTCTGTCATTAAAAGGATGTCTTTGATATTGGAGCACTAAAGCTGAGCTCAGAGAACCTGACTCATCATAACACTTAAATACAGACAGCTGAGAGAAAAGAAGTCCAGGTCTATCCCGATGGCCTCTACAGAGGGAAGACGAGAAAACAACTGGCGCAAATATACTCGTGTGATGTAATCTCAGTCCTAATTTGTTTATAATCTGTGCCCAGCATCCCTGGTTGAATGTCTACCTGACATACAACATGTTTTCAATCAGCAGATATTCAACCGATTGGTTTTACGCCCTGGGAGTCAGCACTGGTGAACTGGTGAACCTACGTAACATGAACCTCACATCTGCTCCTTTCTATGGAGGGACTTGATTTCAAAAGTAGCATCTTCTCGTTTCTCAAACTCGGCTTGTTTAACATGTGGCTAAAATGCAAGCTAACCCTAAACAGTTTGCTAGTTACTTGGCGGTTTGTTAAGAGTGGAACAAAAGAGACTTATTTAGAAATGACCCAAATATAAACCCAGAGGAACTGGCTGTATAATAGTTTTGGCAGCCCAGATCTTTAGAAGAAGGCAGACCCATCCCCAGTCAAACTCATTCACTCCGGACACGTCTTAAAATCTTAAAATAACTATAACAACAATATCTTTCCAGTATTAAATAATCTTATATAAAAACACACAAAAACAGTTGGAAATAAATGGCAAACCTCCCTCTAAGGGCTCCCCGCCTGCCTCCCCCCTCAGTTCACAATACACATTTACACACTGTGCCGTCCTTCAATGATCCCCTCCCTTCCTTGATCAGTAACATCACTGCCACTGCTCCATGCAGTACCTGTTGTTTTGCAGCAAAAGGTCTCTGTTGCCGTTAAAGTCTTTGTCTCTTGTCGTGTTTCAATTAAGCTGCACAGACGTTGTGAAAAAAGCTCGATAGGTGACTTTTCTGCTTCGCTTGTATACAGATATATACATATTTCATACTTATTGGATTAAACATGTATTGTTAATGATAAGAGTAATGAGGTTAATATTAACAATCAGGGTCTGAGATTAAGAGTAGGACACTTGCTACTTCCTCAGAGTCCGAGGGTGGATGGTTTAGGATGGAGCGAGACGGATAAGGAGAGAGACATTAATTATTTTCTCTTCAGGAACAATTACACCAAATTGTTGAGTTCAGTTCTTTAAGCTCCACCCACAGCGTCCTCCTTCCCTTACCACTCACTGGTCAGTTTGGTGCTTTGGTCCCGTTTCGGCGGAGCAGGAGGCGGGCCTCGCCGCAGCGTTGCATAGCCTGAGATGTTGGCGTGTTTGGCGGAGTGGGAGTGTGCGTGGTGGCGAGATAAAGTCTGAGAGTGTCCTCGGACTCCCTGCTGCTGCTGTTGCTGCAGGAGCTCAGGTGGAGGAGGGGGGAGGAGTGCCATGTCGTCCATGGTGCCCACAAGCTCCATCTTGGAGGAGGATATGAGGTGGGAGGAGGTAAGCGAGCCGTGGCGAGACACAGACTTCCTCTTAAGGGTTCGGTTTAGGTCTTCCAGGAAGTGAGACTTTAGTGCCAGGGAGCCTGGAGCGACTGATTTGGGGGAGGTGGGGGGAACAGGTGAGGAGGAATAAGAAGACAGTGATGGGGGTGGGGTCTGAGATAGAGGTGGTGGTGAGAGGGGCATTGATGTTGTATTATCGTACTGGGCCGTGTTGCTCATTCGCCGGTTCAGTGTTGGAGGAAGGACCGCCCCCTTTTTCAGTGACCCTTGTTTCCATGATGACGAGGATAAGGAGGAGGTTGCCGGATGTTGGTGTGACTGCATCTGGGGCTGGGGGTTTACCACTGCCACTTTTGGGGGTTGGTGAAAATCTGATGGGTGGGGAGGAGGAGGAGGAGGAAAGAGCTCAGAGTCACTGGGGGGAGGTGGGAAGTAGTCTGGGGATGAATCGAGGTGAGGAGGCTGGGAAGGAGGAGGTGGGGGCAGAGGACACTGGAAGTCAGCCGGCTGGTGGTGCTGCCCGGTCTGCAGTCCCTGGAGTGCCAGCGGCAGGTTCGCCAGATTCAGTTTCCCTGGTTTGGGTAGCGGAGCAGGAAGTGAGGAAGAGTCTTTAGAAGGTGACCCTGTCGCTGACGAGGAGCTCGACGAGGTGCCCATCTGAGGAGCTTGGCCAAATTTGCTAACCAGGCTCTCAACCGTCTTGGGCCTCTCCTCCTGGGTCTCTCCTGATGAACTGGAGCGGATAGAGGAGGCTCTCTGGGGTGCAGGTGGAGGGCCCCGTTTGGAGGATCCCGTGGACGAGGAGGAAGGCGACCTCTTTATGGGCGAACTTGTCTTGGAGGACGAAGAAGAAGAGGGAGGAGGAGGGAACTCTCCCAGGGAGCTGTCGGTAGGAGGTGGCGGGAACTCTGGGGATTGTGGAGCCACGACACTGCCAGGTTGCCACTTTGGTTTGGCCTTAACTGCTGGAGGAGACAGAGGGGCAGCGATCTTGGATCCCTCCATGTTGGAGTTAGGGGCAGGGTTTCCTGGGAACTGATTGACAATTTGTTTGACCAAAGAGGAGGTAGCAGCTGCAATGGAGACAGCAGAGGAGGTGGAAGAGGGAGAGATGGCAAGATTTTTGGAGGAAAGGCTGTGCTGCTTTGGCAGAGTGGGAGGTGGCTGATTTGGGGAGTGTCCTGTGGAGAAGCTCTGCTGCTTTTTAAATGATCCGTGTCCAACTTGTGGCTGCGTTGGAGACACAGGTGAGAGTGCGATGGGAAGGGAAGAGGGGCCTGAGGGTTTGGGAGCAGTGAGAGGGGGAAATCCTCCAGTGAAGGTTTTGGGAGGTGCAGGAGGTGGTGCGTTAGGTGACAGAGGTCGGAGACCTTGCAGGGAGGTTGGAGGAGACAGCTCAGTGGAAGGTGGAGGAGGAGGTGGGGGAGAGTTATCATCAGGCACTGCTGGGCTGAAGTCATACACCATGTTGGGAAACTTCTGTGCCAGGAACTGTTGGAGGCCCGTGTTGGAGAGTTGAGTGCATGAGCTAGGGATGGGCTCTGGAGGTGGTGGGGGTGGCAACCCATTGGCATCCGGGCTCTCGGGGGGAGGAGGGGGTGGGAGATAGGAGGGCTCCTGTGCCAGCTCCTCCTCCAGTGGGGGTGGTGGTGGAAGAGCGGATGGGCTTGGAGGGCCAAATTTCAATGCTGCCATGGCTGAGCCCGGCGCTGGTGCCGTGGGTGGAGGAGGAGGGGGAGGAGATGGTGGTAGCTGAGGGGAGGTGCTGTAGGCAGCTGGAAGGGTGTTGTAGTTGGAAAGCGAGGGTGGGGGGGCACCCGCCTGCTGTGTTCTGGATTGGTTCTGGCTCTGCAGGCGAGCCAGCGTGCTGTACTTCACGTATGAGGCGGGAGGAGCCGGCTGATGGGCCACGCTCGCTACAGGGGGCAGTGCGGGAGGCGACGGCGGTGACGGGGAGGACTCCTCAGATGGGACGAGGTTGTCAGTGAAGCTGGTCCGGGATGGTGGAGTCTGAGAGAGAGGGAGCGGCTGGGGGGAGAGGCTGGGTATCTGCACAGGGATGGGTCTACTGATCGGGTCGATCTTCATCATCTGCAGAGACAGAGATCAGAGCGGGGAGTGGGATGCAGGATAAAGACGTGGTGAGAAAGGAGGGAACAAAGAAAAAATGACCACAAGCTCTAAAAATGAAAAAATCCACAAGAAGGCGAAACATCAAACGAGTGCAGAGAACACACACAAACATTCACTGAAGAGTCATTACAATCCAATCGTGTGAGGTCTTAACATGCCTTACATACAAAGGTACTGAATGTGTTTGTTATTAATCAAAGGAGCTTGCAAAGAAATATTATTAAATATGTGTTTATACACCAGTTTGTATTTAATCATTAATTATCATTAACATCCTCCACAGTGCTCTGTTTCCTGTCTTCCTCCCTGCTAAAGGTTTCTTCCTTTAAAAAGAGTTTTTCTTGCCACTGTTGCCCAATGCTGGCTCACAGGGGTTTGTCTGCTTGTTGGGATTGTCTCTGTATTATTGGAGCGTCTTATATATAAAGCACCTCGTTGTTGTGATTTGACGCTATATCAATAAAACTGAAAACATGCCTTGTTTGTTTGTTGCGTTTCAGTCAGTTTTTTGATTTGTTGCAGTTGTATCAACATAGTTTATTGTTAAATCCCCCAAACTGATTTTATCTCGTATAAAATGTTACAAGTTGTCCTTTTATATTCATATGTATATATTCCTATATCTCTATATATTTATCTATTTATCTCAATATTTATCTATTGTAACTTTGTTCCTAAACTAATTTAATACGAGTTCTTGTTGTTTGTTGTATATTTGCTGCTCCATTTCCATCTGGGATTCATAAAGTTTCTCTGATTCTGAAGTTACTATAATGTTAACGTTTTAGCGCAGAGGGGCACGTAAGGCCAGCAGCAGGCTGTCAGCATACTAGCAATGAACAGTGGAAACCTTCTCATTAAATCAATACACTGCTGAATCACTGCATGTCCAAGTCAGTTAGGACTTGTTCATCAAAACAGAAAAACAATGCATATTTCAACATTATTATTAGCGTTAGAGTTCAATGTTATTAACACGTTTCATATTCTGGGCAGGTGTCAGGTTCCTCTGACACGCGTCTTAGGCAGTTTGTGGTTGAGCTGCTGTTCCACGTTCGTTCCAGCTTTCTTTACAAACTCTTTGTTTGGCCTCTGATCTGGCATCAAACTCAACGATGTTCACCGTGAGCCGGGCTCAAACATGTCTGGTTAGCTTTAGTTAAACAGTGTCATTCATTAAATGTTTGCAGGGGGCATTCACACCACGAGGTTAGGAAGAAAATCCAACAGGTCAGCTGCAGCCGTTTAAAACAGGTGGAAACCAACATATACATGTTACCATAGAGACAAGCTGGCGGGATGGTCCTGACTCTAACCTGACTGGGGTCATCGTGCCCGTGAGCGTGACCACTCCACGTACAGTAATGGCAACAAGCCTGTGTTACATTACATGATATAATGACACTGGCTGCAGCGCAGCAGCAAAAAGAACATCTTTGACTTGCAAACACTCTGAATGATTAGCTTTGTGTTCGCAGCTACTTGCTTTCTGACGACCAACGAAAAGTCCTGAATCCTAACTACACATCTGCAACATCTACATTTGCTTGTTTTTACTGTAGCTTTTTTAAGACTCGTACAGTTTGGGTTTTAATGAACGTATGATTTACCACAGACTGTGATTCACTAACAGCTTTTCAAGGCCTTCAAACTAATGCACAGAAATGCTGGAGGAAGCATCGTAGGCCTAAAGTCGAGGAAAACATCTGTCACATCTGTCACATCTACTCAACTGTTCAATGTCATGATTGTCCATTTTTATACAACTGCAGCTCAAGTGTCACTTCAAATAAAACCAGTGCTTTAAAGATTGCAGCCAAGCTGTTAACATGCCGGTTACATCACTTCCTGTCTAACCTCCACTCCCTCCTCCTCCTGCACAAAGTGGAACTGGCATACGTCCCTTCATCTTTGATCGCTGGTAGGAAAGCAGAGGGGAAACATGGGCAAAGGCAGAACACAAGCAAACAGATGATGGAGGAACACACTGTGAGCATGACCGCACCTCTCCTTGTGTTCCTCTCCTCCAAGCATCAGAGAAAATGGAGCTGACGACACTCTGGGAGCGGGTGTGGCCCGATGATGTCATCTCTGATACACCGCTGTCTGACTGGCTCGAGTGGTTGGACTGGGATTCTGGAGGGTTAACAAAACATTGAGAAACTGATGACAGTGCTTTTAGTGTGTCTTTTAGCTCATGTTTGAAAGAATCCAGCTGCAGGGATCTTTCCACAGCAATGTTTATCAGGCTCTGAGTGCTCCTTCAGCCCTAATGTGTTTATCTGTAGGTGAGATATACATTCACATGTAATACATAACAACACACTGCACAGCAAAATCTCCAGTGTTAAATTAACACTAGAGAGTGTCTATATGGGTCCACACCTCTGAGTGTTAAATACAACACTGTTGAGTGTTAAATTAACACCTTTGACAGTGTTATATGTTTAAAAGTAACTTAGTCAGTTTTGAAGATTAACAATGGCTAACACTGAGCAGTGCTGATTTTCTAACACTGGAAAATAACTCAAAATGTTAGAAAATCAGCACTGCTCAGTGTTAGCCATTGTTAATCTTCAAAACTGGCTAGGTTACTTTTAAACATATAACACTGTCAAAAGTGTTCATTTAACACTGGAGATTTTGCTGTGTATGAACGAGCCAGTAGAGCAGGGCGATACGACCAAAAATATTTATCACGATATACGTTTGAAAATTTGCAATAACGATATAACTGACGGTATAATTGACACGAGACAAAATACTTTACGACTCCACAACTTTATTAGTGCAAAAAAACCAAACAAACATCAGTGTATTTTCACTTAAACAAGCAGCTGTTTTTTGCATTAAAGTTATATAAACTTTAACAGTGCAAATGCAAATTCCTCGCTGACAGTTTAACCAAAAGGCGTTTCCAGTGGAAACTGGCCGACACATCCTCAGCATAACCATGTATAACATCCACAAAACTTAAAAAGAGGTTATACACACACAATACGGCAATATCATGTTGAAGCGCAGCACGTATCACTCCGCGAGGCTCCGCCTACGATAGCCGTAATGCTCCCACAATCCATCAAGCGGTGCGGCTTCGTAGCTTTGCAAAGTCGTACTGAAACATCTGACAGATGTTCGAGCGCCGTGCACATAAAATCGTCTCGAGGTCAGTAAACACAACCAGAGTTCATACATAAGGCACACGGGATTATAAGGGGCTCTGTCGACTTTCAGAAAAATCAAAGGATTGATTTTAAGTGCGCCGTATTTTCCAAACAACACGGTAATAACGACGGCCCGCTAGCATGCGCTACCAAAAATAGTGCTTTGTTGTGTGTCTGAGGGACGAAAGCTAAACCAGTTCCACACCAGTGAAGCTGCAGCATTTTTACAAACCAGTTCAGGTTCATCTGTTTCATTCAACGATCCACTTTCTCCGCCATGTGCGTATGTAAACAAAGGCACTGTGTATGTGCGTTTTACCCATATTCTATCACGATATTTCATTTTCTTAGCGTTTCCCAACATTACACCAGTATTACCATGAACGGTATGATATAGCCCCGCCCTACCAGCCAGTGATCTCAACCAAAGGAGGCACACGGACCTGGAAGGCTGGAGGAGCTGGATCCAGACTTGATGGAAGACGAAGACAGGGAGGACCAATCATAGGCTGCCTCCGACCTCCTCATTGCCTCCTGGAAGTTGATGTACAGCTGCTTCCCGTACTGATGGACACATACACAGGTGACACTTTACACAAGAAAGGCAGCTTCAGCAAGTACACAGCGTCCCCACAGTGCTCCCCCCATGTGCATCAGGCTGTGGGCAGGAATAAACACTTGGGGGGGAGGTGTCAGTAACAGCACGCCGATCATAAATCAGTAGTGAATAAGTGAAAATGACAAAGTAATAGCAGGCAGTATGAGGCGTGCTTATTAGATCCCATCTGTGGGCTGTCACACACACAGTCACAGCTCTGTGGACTTTAGTCTCAGGTTACACACTCTTATAAACAGCTAGGCTGAGAAAAGGAGCACACAGGCAATCAGAGCGCTGAAAGTTTGGCAAAGTTAGCTGGCACAGGGTGTTAGACCATGGAAAAGAATTAGAGCACATCATTTAACAATAAAAACAGGAGTTGTTGTTGTTTGTTTTTAAATAAACAACAGCATCCTAAACACGGGCAAACTCTTCAATTTATACTTGTTTTCATACATCATATCCAGAATAGTTTCCCAGTTTTTCATGGTGCACCAGCATGGTCCTGTGTCCCACAGCCTGTGAGCCGCACCAACATCATACACTACGAGTGAATCATCTCCGATTAGAGCCGTCGTGTGATACGACAGGGAGACTGTGTGAAACGTTTACCTTAGCGATGCGGATGCTGTTGATCCACTGCTGCAGCGTTCTGACATCGTCACAGCAGAGATATTTGATGTACTGTGACTTCTTCTGGATCTGAGGGTGCTACAAAAACACGCTGCATTAACTCACTGGATACTATTAGTTTTAGACCCATCCAAGCGTCACTACAGTTTTTCACCACTAGATGGCAGTGGAAGATCATGTCCACCTACCTTCAGCACCATGCAGTAGTCTGTGGGAGCCTTGTACTTGCTCTTGTAGTCCTGACCAAGGTAGACATTAACATGATCCAGCTGGAGGAAACACGCCAGGTCTCTAGATGCCTGCACAAACACACGTATCTCACAACTTTGCACCCAAACACTGACTGTATGACAAAGTGCTGCCTCCATTACACACCTTGGCCTTGCCCTTGGGAACGTAGTAGATGCCCGAAGCCCTCAGCAGAAAGTAGCGCTTCTTCCAGGACTTTTTGCCATCCTCCTTCAGCCATAAGACACCCTCCATCTCAGGGACGGACACTGAGCTGCCCCCGAAACACTCCTGATATACAAAAACACCATTTTTATTTTCGCCTGAAATTAAAACCATCATGCTAAATGCTAAACATTCTACATGTTTAGCATTTCATGTAAGGACCCAACAGAAGGGAATCTGATGAGGAAAAAAAGAATAAAAATAGAGACCGACCTCTAACAGAGCCTCCTTGTTCCTCTCGGCCATCTCGCATGTCTCCTTCCTCCCCAACAAGTAGTTCTGCAGTAGACAGTGAGCATGAGAAAGAAGGGGTAGGTGAGGAGCTGGAAGTCCAAGAGAAGGTTCAGTCGAGAAGTCGCAGCAATCGGCTCATTATTGTCCAACTTCTGGTTTAAGGTCAACCCTAATGTTCAGGAAAAAGTCCCGCTGTGACCTGCACTATGCTGCATGTGGAGGAGCACTCCGAGCTGGTGCAACATGCCAGAATCCGCCCCATGAATGAGAGCGGTGTCCTGCGGCGCTGTGAGGGACAACATGCCACTTCTCCACCTTGCTCATCACCTGTTACCTTTTACAAGATTTGCCTGGAAGCTTCTGCACCTCCTCTGACACCCAGCTTTCCAAGAAGAGACACGCGTGACAAGGCGGCTTGTCACGCGTGTCTCTGCGACGGCGTTTGATTCTTATCAGCCGATTCCTGAACTTTTGAACATTGGGTCATAATTGCAGGGTGCTTTACATGTGCATATGTCTCACCTGGGGGTTTTTGAACAGAGCATACTTCTCTATGCGCTCAGTGAACATCAGGCGGTTCTGGCTGTCTCTGGTCCAGTTCAGCAGGTTCTCCACGAGGTTCTCGTGATCCTCAAAGATCCGCTCTGCATACAGTCAAAGTCCAGACCGCAGCATTAAAATCATTGCTAGTCCACCACTAACACTTTCAAAGATTTTGTCATGAAGCAAACGATAAGCACAAAGTGTTTCACACGAGCTAAAGATCTGGAAATGTCCCCGCCGCCCTGACACGTTTCAGCTTTCCGTACGTCCACGTTTAAAATCTCAAAACAGGAGACTTTAATTTTCCTACAATAACAACCCAAAAATGTTTAGATGGGAGTTTTTTGACCAGTTTATGAATACTAACATGTGATTAAAGAGGCGTGTTTGTTGATACACGTCAGCTTTCCTTCAATCAGCAGAAGAATCCTCATTAGATCATTCCTGCTGTGCACAGCGACATCAGCTTCAGGTCTGAAACAGGAAGTCAATTTATTGCTAAAGGGTGCCCAGCAGGGTGCTGGTGGCGGTGTGGGAATGTGAGGGGGGTGGTGGGTGGAAATAGACGTGGAAAGCATCACTTACTTGATTAATTAGTACAGCTGGATTTAAATCTAACCCAGATTGTGTTTGTAAGCAGAGCTTTGAGAGACGTGTGGATTTGTGTAAACGAGGAAGCTTTAGATTCAGCTGGATGTGATCAAACACACTTTGACGTCCCGCTCTCTTTCATAACACTGCTGACCGCAATTCAGCAGAAGCCCTGAAGATGTAGGTTAGATCACACGCATCACTGCACTGGACCTACAAACAGACTGTGTGTGTGTGTCTGTTAAACTGAGTGGAAGCTTGTAGTACAGTGTGTGCTACATACACGCAGTTCAACCCCCAAAGGAAGTGTGTGTGTTTGCAGCTGAATATCTGTGCTGTCACTGATGGCGAAACATCACTGAACACAATTACAAATCTAAGCTAAACAGCAGAACTGAGCTTCACTCGTTTGGTTAAAGTCTGGTAGCACCAGATCACAAATCCCAGTCTGCTTCACACGGTGAACACGAACACGTTACACTCATCTAACAACAGGTAAGAGCATTTTAAAAAGAATCCTCTTGTTGATTGATGACCCATAAAACCAGGTTCAGTTTCTAAGAGCTCACATTGAACACGGAGCTACAGTGATGCTAAACCAGATGTGACAGTGACGGGGGACCGAACAGTAATATCTGTCAACCACTGCTCATCAGCCATATCTGATCAAAACACGGATTTAACGCTCCATATTTTTGTCCCAAAATAAGTGCCTGAGCCTAGAATTTCACCTGCAACATGTTTTCCCAAAGACTGTATGATTGCAGCCATTCCCCAACTCTCTGTGAATGGGACTCATGGCCATTGATCAATGGTCTTTGATCAGCGGGTTTTGATCAATGGTCGTGAGAATTTGCATAATTAAGATGAAGGAACTGACCTCCCAGCCCATTGTTCCTTCAGTGGGCTGGTTTCAGTCATTGTGCAAATGTCCTGTTTATAAGATTGAAACCTGCAGTCAGCTGAGACTGAAGACGTCACCTGATGATGACGAAACGTTTCTCCCACAAAACGCTACGTCCAGATGAACAGAACCAACTTTTGGAGACAAAGACTGTATGACTGGAAGTAGGTGCAGCAGCGTGGGACGTCAAAAAGAAGACACGTCACGTAGTGTCCATGTGTAAATATGGGAACAGTTTAAAAAAGTATGACTCAGGCTCTGATTGTGGATCACAACAGCTGGTGTTTAGGGATGAGGTCATCTAAGTGTCCACTGCAGCCACCAGCTGTACTTTCATACTGCATTTTCCATCTGTGAGATATATAGATATATATGTATATATGTATATTAGGGGTGCAACGATACTCGTATGGATATTGAACCGCTCGATACAGTGCTTTGGGTTCGGTACGCATATGTATTGAACAATACAAAATTTGTAATTTATTTTATCAACTTTCCTTCTGACGATGCTGTCTGTGTTGAGCGCTCAGTGGATCTGCGCTCGACAGTGCAGCCTAGGCGGAGTAGTCGAACGCAGATTCACTGAGCGCAGGGCAAGCTAGCGAGACAGACGCTAAGCTCTCCTTGCAACATGGCAAATTGAACCTCCCCCACCCTCATTCAGATCTGGCCTTTGGAACTATTTTGGTTTTCATGTGACGTATGACCCTGAAGGTAAGCGCGTCATGGACTAAAGTAAAACAGTATGTCGGATGTGCCACGCAATGGCACATCCGACATACTGTGGATGTGCGTAACTGTGTGTTAGCGCAGTTAGCTCGTTAACGTGTTGACGCCGTCCCCCACGCACGGGGCGATCTGCGGTAGCTCGTTAACGGAGATTCGCCGTGTTGTGGCGTTAACGTCATTTCAGATTAACGCTGACAGCACTAGTGGGAACACAACGAATATGACTGCACATTTACTCCGACATCATCCTAGTGCAAAGACAAGTGGAAGCAGACAAAAACAACAAGCACGCATGCTACAAACTTTACCCGAGTCATTTAGACAGCCGTTAGCACAGGATTCTCCTTATGGGGACCTGATATGTTTAATATGCTGCTGAGTGTGTGTTTATTTTTATGCTCCTCTTTCCCTTCCCATTTCTGGCCCACTTGTCAGACGGACGTGTATTTGGGATTTTGGAGGACTGAACTGGAACGCGTTTGTGGTGGAAACCTCTGTGTGTGCTGTGTGAAGGGTTTGCATTAGTTTGTACACATCAGGGACCCTCAACACGAACTTTTAGCAGAGCTGCACATTAAAAAACCCAACATATTATATAATTTTTTAGTAACTTCTCTCCCTGTGTTTGCTTTCAGGAAACAGGAGTACACATGACGTCATGAGCAGACAGAAGAGCCTCTGTGTGCACGTGCACTCACCCATCTGCAACTCGCTGATGGTTTCCACCAGTGACCAGTCCGCACTGTAGCCACAGTGAGATTTCTCCAGCAAACTGTCCAGAACCTAAAGACAGGGACCAACTGTGAGATTAGCGCTGTGCTCATACTCTACTGCTTTTTAAACTAACTGCATGACTACACCAGCAGGAGCCGTACCTGTCTGACCGTTTGCCGTTCGTCCACCATCATGGTCTTTGAGCTCTCGTCTGACAGATGAACACGAATCACCAGCTGTGAGCAGGACCAGGAGGAGAGAGCAGAGTACGTAACACGGCTAAATGTGAGCTGCTAACATCTCGTAAGCTAACCTTAGTCAGGCTAATGTTGCTAGCAACTAACGTTTTCTTTTTAGGCTAGCGCACTGGCTAATGTTAGCTTTTTATGGGTTGAGGAATGGCTAACACAATGTTTTATATAAGCTAATAGTATCGTTGTTTTCAGCTTCTTGTTTTCACAATTTATTGTTTGTTTTTAATTAAATCTCGGACACTGAAACCAGCGCTGAGCTACACTCGTTTTATTGAAGCCTTTCTTGAAATGACTCCAGAAAGTTACAAACGTGATTACTTTATATTTACAGTATTCGTTCATTTATTGGTTAGCATTAGTATAGGCTTGTTCCTTTTTTTTGAAAATGATAAAATATGTTGCTATATGAATATTTCTCCCATCTCCTAGCACGGTGTATGTCATTCTGTATGCTGCGAAACAGTGCAAACTTTCTAGACTCTTCAGGTTTACCATCATCTACGCCAGGGGTGGGCAACTCCAGGCCTCGAGGGCCGGTGTCCTGCAGGTTTTAGATCTCACCCTGGGTCAACACACCTGAATCACATGATTAGTTCGTTACCAGGGGCCCGTTCTTCGTACCGCGCTAAGTAGGTTAGCTGGATTAGATTGTTGACGATTTCGCGTGATCTTGGATCGTTCGGTTCCCCGAAGCTCATCCGGGACTTGCTGTCATAGCAACAGAGCCGTAAGCGTAAACCTGCTGGGGAGCAGGCTTACTTTATGTAAACAGGATTAGATCGCGGCCACGCAGGTATGTCCGCTTCATTTATACGAAAGCAACAGCGATATTCCACCACTGTTTCACCATAAATAAATAACATCAATGTAACCAAAGATAATGCAGCACCTGATCCATTTATTGATGTCACACAGATACATACAGGTCATTTCCTAAAAAAGGGAAATGTACTATTAACATTCTATTACATGTATGTGATTATTACAGATGTAATTCATATTTCAGAGTAGTAATTGTAAATTACTTCGTGTAATCAAGATGAGAGACCACGGCTATAAAAGCGAAGGTGGATTTGGGAAGTCTGTCGCAGTCATATCCTGTCCGTTTACGCGAGCAGCCCATTGCGGAAGGTGCAAGATTGATAAGGAGAGTTTTCAGAATTCAGCGTATATTGCGGGACAGACAGGATCCTTTAGCTCAGCGCGACAGTGTGCTCATAGAGAGATATCGATTTTCCCGTGAGGGTATTATTCACTTAACCAACTTGTTGACGAGGGGGTGCAGGACCACCACCTGTCTGTTTTTGCTCTGCCCTTTTCTTGGTTGCTGTTATGAACAAACAAACAGATTATTCCAGGGTCTCTTTTCAAGAGACTAAAAGCAATATAAGTGATAAATATTACCATTCTGTAGAATATTCTTATATTTCACTTTTACTTGTTCCCATGTTCTAGTGGGTCCTGTCGTGGCTCTAATGTGAAAGAGGATATAATGTAACATATTATAATATAATGTAATATAATATAATATAATAAATTTACCCTACCGCCTACTGGTGTTGGCCAGAGGGGCCGATGGCGCGATATGGCAGCCTGGCTTCTGTCAGTCTGCCCCAGGGCAGCTGTGGCTACAACTGTAGCTGCCTCCACCAGTGTGTGAATGTGAGAGTGACTGAATAGTGGCATTGTAAAGCACTTTGGGTGCCTTGAAAAGCGCTATATAAATCCACTCCATTATTATTGTTATTATTGAATTACTTACGAGTTTAATTTGTCAGCAACTTTCTGCCAGCCCTCTCTCCTTGCTTTTGCAGCCTTTGCAGTGTTCCCTTGGGTTCTGATTAAACTCTGAAACTCCTGACATCCCTCACTCAAGAGTTCTTGCTCTGCTGCCGAAAAATACCGAGCGCACTCCTTCGACATTTTCGCCGACCAATCAGAGGGTTGCCAATCACTGTTTCTGCTATCGATGCGTAGCCCCTTTTACGACACCCAGTGATCGCACATTACTTCAGCCAGCTGTACTAATCGTCAACAGCAGGTGTGTTCGGGGAACCGGATTAGCGAGCTCATGGTTAGCGCGATGGTTTGGTCTTGGATGTGTCATTTGATCTTGGATGTAGTGAGCGACGTACGAAGAACGGGCCCCAGGCCTCTGGAGAACTTCAGGACATGTCGAGGAGCTAATTTAGCCATTTAAATCAGCTGTATTGGTTAAAGGACACATCTAAAACCTGCAGGGACACCGGCCCTCGAGGCCTGGAGTTGCCCACCCCTGATCTACGCAGTGATGTCAGAGAACCGAAATCAGTGCATCATGAACTGAATTCAAATGTTAGAAAACATCTGAATACACTGTTTTCAGTAAGAAAGCTTGCACGTAGATTCTGACATTCATATTGGCAGAAGCTGGGGTGAGCACAGCTCCTGCAGGCTTTGGTAAAGTCCAGACAGGCTGCTGTCAGGTTGAATTACGGCCTGTTGTGATTGGTTCTCTTTGTGTTAATCACCACCAATCACCAGTGATAGCAGTGCGTTTGAGTCAAAGTAAAGATTTCACTGTAATTCTGACAGTTTCCAAAGCAGAAACGTGACCTGGTCTCTGTGGTGGGTCCGCGCCGCCACATACATGATTACATTTTTAACAACCTCATCTCAAAAGCCACCTTATATCACACTTTCGTATAGAGCCAGTTATATGCAGCCAGTAAGTGTTCATTCTTGTATTATTAAAAAACGTGAGCGATGGGTTGAGTGTGATTTTATGGGCTTTGTGCACACAGCTGTTCATACATCTGCCTCTTTCTCTAATGGGGCTTTTGCAGACATGGTGCTGAAAGATCACTTTTCTGGAGCTTTGTGCAGGATCAACATACAGATGATTCAACACACACACACACACACACACACACACACACACACACACACACACACACACACAGGTAGCTGGGTGTGTGTGTGTGTGTGTGTGGGGTAAATCCAGGTTGGTAATCCCTCCTCTCTCTCTCTGGGATTGGAACTTAACTTGCAGCGGTCATTATGTAGAGTGCTCAGTGTGTGTCTGCGCGTGTGTGTTTGATGTGCATGTTGACCCCAGCTGTTACTGACCAGAGCTTTCAGTGTGGAGTAACACTGACTTGACCCAGAAAATAAAGTGCGGCGAGCACGTGCCGCAGACGCAGCTACCAGACAACAAATGCGTGGCTCACCTTCTTCACCTGGGCCTCCTTGATCTTCTCGAGGGCCAGTCGGATGTTCTCTGCCTTCAGTTTGGCAGCCTGCTCCTCCTACAGACACACACACACCGGTCAGTCAATGCAAACGCCAGCAGTCACTCAGCATCGAGCCCGTCACCTACCTGACTCCTCCAACATGAGTTCATCGTTTGTTTCCCTCAAACAGCCAACACTTCTGTGTCTGCTTGATGTCAAATAATATTTGCGAGGTTTAATTAAAGAGAAGTCCAACTCCAGGAAATGCCGGCGTTTAATGTTTGGGTAGGATCGATGCATTCCCAGCTGGCTGTGTGCCAGCTTCCCGTCTCACCAGGCTTCGGATGCGCTGATGTAGAAAGGCCGAACAGGTTAGCGCCACCGCAGAGAACTGCTGTTCAGGAGCCCAAACTACGAGGAACCACGGGAAGAGTTTGGCTGGCAGGCGTGCCTCTCCTCCTGCGTCTCTTCATTTTAATCATCGTCATCAGCGCGTTATTGGACAGCACAGGAAAATGAGACTGGATTAATGCACGGCTGTTGGATTATCCAAACTGAGCGCACGCCGCTACTTCAGCCTGGACAGACGCCGCTTTATCACGTCAAAACAAGGAAGAGGAAGGAGTGGAGGAGGAAGACGGTGGATCGGAGCAGCTTCAGGCACAAGACCTGGAATCAAACAGACTGACCGCGTACGCTCATGCTGATGCAACCATCAGCTGATCTGCAGACTAACAGCCTCCTGTATCAACGAGCTATCAGACTTACTGAGTCAATCCCAGAGTGAAAGATGCTACCCTGTCCTGTCACATCCTCCCCGGCCAAGCGAGACAGAGGGAATGAGAGGAGGAGACGGAGGGAGAGATGCACCCAGCTGGGGGAGGGGCATTGCTGCTGTGCAAGCTTACATGGAAGAGCACTGATCTCTTTATCTCAGGCTCTCATGCCCCCTCCTCACAGACTCGCACTCCTGCTGTCATCTCCTCCTTCACTTTTCTCCTGCTGCTGTCCTCACCTCACCTCTCTACCGCTCACATTCTCTTTGAGTTGGATCCAGTTTTAAGGGGTCTGAGTATGGAGGCGCTCTGCTGTCAGTCAGGCTGCATGAAAACAGGAGCCATGTGGTGAGGAGGAGGAGATTAGCAGCCACTTTCCCTCATTCCCCTCCCCCACCCCCAAAACACACCGAAGGATGTGCACACACATGCGCGCGCACACGCACACAATTCTCCAAGCAGCACTGAAGCGAACAGCCTAAGCTCATAAAGAGCTTCATAATCCAGTGCCCATACTTGACTGGCCTTAATTATTCCACTTGGTTCCACAGTTAACTGTCGTGACAAACATATATGGAAGCAGACAATCATTCAGAGGTACAGCACTGTGCAAAAGTTTTGAGCCACCCCTAATTTCTTTATCTTTTGCCAAGAAACAAATGAAACCAAATGTGCACAGACTGAACCGATACGGCCTGACAGCCGTTCCACTGAGGCCATGTCTTCACTGCTGGTGGATCAGTTTTAGGGCTCCTGTCAAACCTTTGGCAGGACGTGACTAAAGCCAGTGAAACAAATGGTGGGTTTCTGTGATGGGCTGTTAGTAACAAAGTGTCTCTGGACATATTTAAAACTGGTTCTTTCATCCTTTCAGTTGGGGCCGTTTTGATGCTTGATTAACTCAGAGAGGGTCAAGTGGCTCTAACGGTCTGATGCATGGCTTGACTGAAAGTCAGACAAACCACAGCTAATGCCCAAAGAAAGCCCAGAGAGCTAACAAAGCTTCATTTTTGAATACTTGAACACGCCGACCTCTGACATCACTGTGTTTTCCATCTTGCAGCATAATCATCGTCTCTCTGTCTCACACATATTCAGCTGGCCTACATTATGAAGCAGCTAAAATGAGCTTGTGCTCAGGGAGAGATCTTCTGCCTTTGAAGTTTTCTAGGATGAGTCCCCTCAGTGCTGCAGCTCAAAACACAGCGCACAGATGAACTGCACAACTGGGCCAGCAGTGTGTGAACAGAGTGTGGGTGGACTTATTGCTGAGGCAGTGTAACACTGACACACACACACACAGTCTAATGACTGCAGATAATTACGCCCGCAGTGCAATCACTGCTGCAGGAATTAGACTGGCCCAGAAGCTCATAATCTGCCTGGATGGTCGGGGCCGTTATGCGTCCTCTAATCTGGGACACAGATGAAAAGAAAACACGGACTGTTTCCATCTTCCCAGAGACAGCTCGAGCATGTTGTGTGAATCAGAGTCAGGAATAGTGCAGCGAGGCAGCAGCGAGGCAGCAGCGAGACGGTCTGACCCACAGCGGTGTGAGAACACTGGTAAAACATTTGTTCCAGTATATTCACTGAATTCTTAGACACAAGAGCCAGGAACAGTACAAATACTATGCAATGAGATACTACATCATTAGAAAGTTCTTCAAGTATAATTTGATCATTCAGCACTATGTAAACGTCCAGCTTTAAACGCTGTTTAATGCAGTCGATTTCTAGGATGATATTCCTTTTTCCTCAAATTGGAGTTTTTGCGGGCAGCTGGCTGCGTTGTGTGCACGTGTCTACATTTGATGCTCCTAGGAAGGGAATCACCCCTCTGTCCTCCAAAGGAGATTACCCCTGCAAATTTGGCACGTTCCTGTAACATCCAATCAAAGTGCCACAGTTGCTTTTTCTTCCAATGAAATCCTGTCATTGCCGATCCAATCAGGATAAAGCCTCCTTACTTGCTTGGTATTTAAGCTGGCCTTCCTAATACACACAAATACAACCTGCAGCTTAAGAACCACAGATTCTCCGACAGCTACGATTGCCACGCTCCCGTCCACGGACGTCCACGTTCAGTGTTAATACAACTCCCACTGCAGTTAGTGCAAGTTCAAAATAAACAGTAAAAGACATAAGACGTGAAAATGTTGGTAAAAAATAACATAAGAAGAAAAACGAGTTTAAAAAAGAATAAAAAAATTATTGAAAATAAACCGGGAACGCCTGATCTCCACCAGCAGCCGGGATGCTGATCCCAGTAACTATTCTATATAGCGGGTAGCTGGTCCCATTATCAATACCAGCATCAGTCTCTGTTACTGCTGCTGGCTGCAAACGCTCGTTAGCACAGAGACAGCCTGTGGACCGTGGTTTCTGCTAACAGCAGCTAACCTAAACTGTCCAGGAGAGCGCTCACACATTCAGCCCGAGCTATGCCACAAGATGAAATATGAAATATTATCACACACATTTAGTCTTTTTTACTGGAATGCAGCGTCCAACACCGGCTGAGCTGGTTGGAGCTTGTAAAAGCAGACACAGAAGAGTTGGCTGTCACACCTGCTTACCTGTGCTTGGTCTCATTATCAGAAGTAATCCTACATCCTCACAATCCCCAAGATTTTACAGTTACAGGCAAACAGGGCAAACAGAAAAGCACACAGGTGGGGTGTGCTCCAGCGACACGCTCACTGGTTTTTAGTGGATGTTTCACATCAGGCGAGGTTTCATAACTCAACATGCACACAGAAATAATGACATATTAGCAGGTACATACTGAGTTTATGACAACTTTGTCCTGTGTGGTCTTCACCTTCAAAGACTTGGTACACCAGTGAAACGCACATATGTCACACGTAGCACACGTCCAGTGAAGCAGCATTTGCCTTCACTCATACATGAAGCAAACCTTAATTCAAAAGTGTCTCTGCACTTGGCTGCAGGTACGACTGAAGGCAAACCAGCTTTTGCATCACTGTGACAAACAAACCGAGCAGGTGCTGAGTGAGACGCACACACAGCAACATCAGAACAGCAACGGGCAGCATCCACAAAGCTGTGCAAAACAAGGCTCAAGCACAGAGTTAGAAAAGGAAGGCAAAGAGCGAGGTGAACAGAGTTAACAAGCACATCGCCAAAACTGTTGTTTTATCGTGCACATGCATGTTTATTTGACTTATGTAGAAGAAGGTGGAGGAGAGGATGGATGCTGACGCATGAGGGCAGAGGGGCAGTGTGCAGAAGTATGTGGGGTGTCACCTTGGTCAGTAGGTGAGAAGGTTTTCCCGCTATGTTTCTCAAAATCAGCGAGGTTTCCCTGTCCAAATACGAGTGCTTGAAAAAGAAAGAGAGAGTGCCGGTGAATCGATCTGCTGCTGATTGGTTGAACGTGGTAGTTTAGCAGAAAGCTCAATGGTCAGGCAGAGATCAGAGAGGGAAACCTGTGAAGGAGAACTGCACACACAGCAAACACATTAAAGCACTGATCAGCTCTTAATGGAAGGATATTACATCCCAGTGACCCATGTGAGGTTAGCCCTGACTACAACCTGTTTATATGCAGTTTTCCCCGATTCGCCTATAAGTTCAAAAAGCTTCAAAGGTTACACCTTTAACTTTCTTCATCTTAAAGTGTTTTTGTAGCATGTAGCACAAATACAAGGTTACTGCAGATATCAAGAGATTAAGACACATATCATGTGACAGTCATATGCAAAAACTTGTTTTCATAAAAACAACCCACACTGCCCACGGACACCTGCACTCACAAGTTCAGTTCAGTTTACTTATACAGGGAGTGCAGAATTATTAGGCAAATGAGTATTTTGTCCACATCATCCTCTTCATGCATGTTGTCTTACTCCAAGCTGTATAGGCTCGAAAGCCTACTACCAATTAAGCATATTAGGTGATGTGCATCTCTGTAATGAGAAGGGGTGTGGTCTAATGACATCAACACCCTATATCAGGTGTGCATAATTATTAGGCAACGTCCTTTCCTTTGGCAAAATGGGTCAAAAGAAGGACTTGACAGGCTCAGAAAAGTCAAAAATAGTGAGATATCTTGCAGAGGGATGCAGCAGTCTCAAAATTGCAAAGCTTCTGAAGCGTGATCATCGAACAATCAAGCGTTTCATTCAAAATAGTCAACAGGGTCGCAAGAAGCGTGTGGAAAAACCAAGGAGCAAAATAACTGCCCATGAACTGAGAAAAGTCAAGCGTGCAGCTGCCAAGATGCCACTTGCCACCAGTGTGGCCATATTTCAGAGCTGCAACATCACTGGAGTGCCCAAAAGCACAAGGTGTGCAATACTCAGAGACATGGCCAAGGTAAGAAAAGCTGAAAGACGACCACCACTGAACAAGACACACAAGCTGAAACGTCAAGACTGGGCCAAGAAATATCTCAAGACTGGTTTTTCTAAGGTTTTATGGACTGATGAAATGAGAGTGAGTCTTGATGGGCCAGATGGATGGGCCCGTTGCTGGATTGGTAAAGGGCAGAGAGCTCCAGTCCCACTCAGACGCCAGCAAGGTGGAGGTGGAGTACTGGTTTGGGCTGGTATCATCAAAGATGAGCTTGTGGGGCCTTTTCGGGTTGAGGATGGAGTCAAGCTCAACTCCCAGTCCTACTGCCAGTTTCTGGAAGACACCTTCTTCAAGCAGTGGTACAGGAAGAAGTCTGCATCCTTCAAGAAAAACATGATTTTCATGCAGGACAATGCTCCATCACACGCGTCCAAGTACTCCACAGCGTGGCTGGCAAGAAAGGGTATAAAAGAAGAAAAACTAATGACATGGCCTCCTTGTTCACCTGATCTGAACCCCATTGAGAACCTGTGGTCCATCATCAAATGTGAGATTTACAAGGAGGGAAAACAGTACACCTCTCTGAACAGTGTCTGGGAGGCTGTGGTTGCTGCTGCACGCAATGTTGATGGTGAACAGATCAAAACACTGACAGAATCCATGGATGGCAGGCTTTTGAGTGTCCTTGCAAAGAAAGGTGGCTATATTGGTCGCTGATTTGTTTTTGTTTTTGAATGTCAGAAATGTATATTTGTGAATGTGGAGATGTTATATTGGTTTCACTGGTACAAATAAATCATTGAAATGGGTATATATTTGTTTTTTGTTAAGTTGCCTAATAATTATGCACAGTAATAGTCACCTGCACACACAGATATCCCCCTAAAATAGCTCAAACTAAAAACAAACTAAAAACTACTTCCAACAACATTCAGCTTTGATATTAATGAGTTTTTTGGGTTCATTGAGAACATGGTTGTTGTTCAATAATAAAATTGTTCCTCAAAAATACAACTTGCCTAATAATTCTGCACTCCCTGTACAGCTCAGCAGCAGCAGTATGTAGAAACTGTCTGCAGAGACCAGACTGAGCCGACTCTACTAACAAATCATGTCATCATGTGGGACGGACCCTGGGTGAAGTTTGAGGGCTTTTAAAATAAACTACAAAACAGTCACATGACCACAAAGCTCAGGAAACTACAAGTGCAAAGACACCAGTTAATTCAGGACTTTGGGCTGATTTTTGTGGCTCTCTGTAAAAGGTCTGTGTCGTCATTTCTGGATTTGAAAGCATGACATCAAACCTGCATTCTCTCAGAGTCAGCAGGAGGCAACACAAGCAGCAGTCCCACAGACGTCCAGTAATGGGCTCCAACACTAGCTAATACAAACCAGTGTGCCTCTTATTGAACATGGAGCATGTAGCAGGGTATTCTTACATGGACACGCTGTGGTGTCACAGCACCACGACGGTGATGGCAAAGAGCACTTAGTGTCAGGCAATCGGTGTCACAGTGGAGACTTTCAGGTTTTATGTGTCTCTGCAAATGTCAGCACATATTCTCTAAAGACCACAATAAAGACAGGAGCACAATGAGACTGTTGCTTTGGTTGCAGTTTTCCATCAAGGAGAGGAAAATGGTGCCAAACATGCTGAATGGATTCAAGGACAAACTGTTTAGTTTGCAGTTTGGGTAATAATGTGGGAAACGTGACATCAAGGCTAAATCATGTAAACAGAAACGAGTACAGTGAGTTGCAGCAGCCGTGCAGTAAAACAGTGTTTACGACTGAGTCACTAAATGTACAGTTTTACTCGAATTTAAAGGCAAAGCTAAGAAAGAAACTGCAGACACGTCTGTGGCGTGCTGAGACTTCCTGTCCATGAGCAGAGCCACCGCACCGAGTGTGAACTCTTTGACCAAACACACACCAGGAGGCACTTTCAACAATGACACAGGTTCTTTGACCTGCTATTTTGGGGTCATGTTAAAATGATGCGAACCCATCCTCTCTCTTCTCATCTTTATAATCTGATCACTGCACATTTGCTTCAATCTAGAAACTATTTTATAGAAAGCATTAGGTCTGTCGTGACAGCCGCAGATTAAAAATAATATTTAGGTCAGACACACAAAACTGACCCATCCACAGCGTGTGTGACAAAAAGAGCTGCTACCCAGAAACAAGCAGATCAGGCGTGTCCTGTCACATGTAGAAGGCGAGGCTGGAAACATGACTGGGATGTTAAATATTCTGAATGGACAGCTCTCAGGAATTATGACACTGTTGGTGCCGTTAGAGCAGCTCAGTGTGTTTACAAGACGATAACAGACTAATAATAATCACAACTACTAACTCAGCGTAATCTAACCAGAGTGCGTGGTGAACCCAAAGGTGTCTGATTGTGTAGTCATACACACCAGTTACAACACTGTTAGCGTCTCAGTACAACTCCATGCGTTACACTATAGACTAGCATGTAAACGCTGACAGTTGATTGTTTTATCTAAAGTAACGTGACGTCATGCACTTAGTTAAAATGATGCTTTTAATTTCACCACATATAAATCTTCTGCACTGAAACACGTTAGCATTTAAAGCTGCTGCTGTTAGCGTGACTGTTTTCACGAGTTCCAGACAAAGACTGAAGGATTTCATCCAAGTATTGAAACATGCTTTATATTCATGCTTAAGTTCGATTCCTGCAGCTCGTGTGCTTCAATCACAGGGTCACTGTTTTCTATCAAAGCTGATGATGTGTCACTGCCCAGATACTGACTTAACTGTGTTTCTACGATCGGACTTTCAAACATTCAACATCAATATATTTCTGCTGTGTGGTGAAAGAAAACAGGCAGGCGTGTCCTGAACTGAACCACAGTCAGGCTCCCACTAACTCAGAGCTCATGTCTGACTAACCTTTGTGCGTCCACGCGAGAGCAGCCATAACTAGAAAGTTCAATTTACTGAGTCCAGCGACGGGGTTATTTCTGCTGCCCACGGTCAGAGTGAGAGCCTCAGGGATTAGACTGCACGAGTCCCACTTTCTAATGAGCTTGTGGGAGAAATGCTCCGGCAAACACAGTACAGCACTTCTCCTCTTCCTCCTCTGTGTGTCTTTCTTCCTCAGCCCTCTCAGTATTTGGATGTTTTGTGTTGCTAACATGTCTTACTCTCACATGCTGACGCACTCTTGCTTCTTCCATTATTCTAATATTGTTTCTTCTCTGCTCTCTCAGACAAACTGGAGCAGTAGCCCCGTTTCCTCACAGTAACAGGGTGTGTTTGGTTTTTGTTAAACAAGGTGACAGCACTAACAAGGTTGGAGGTTCAACTTCCTCAGCAAGGAAGAAGAAGAAGCTGTTATTTGTGGTGGCATGTGCGCGTCACTGAAGCTTTTCTGTTGGAGCAGTGTGGATTATAAAAGAGGCGAGGACGAAGCCTGAAGCAGCACAAAGCATAACCCGACACACACCAGTAACAAACAGCCGACAAGGTTGTGTTGTTGGAGAGGAGACAGTGTGACGTTGCATCGTTGGTCCCAAACACTTTGAGTCTCATGGAAAAAGACGGCTGGTTGGTCGTTGGGGGTTAAAGGCTCCTTTTCACTGAGAGCACCGTCTCTGTCGTCAAACTTTGGCAGGCAGCATGAACCACAGCCTCCTGTCCCATCTGAACCATCGGCAGCTGCCAATGATCATTTTCAGTGTGGGTTCACCCAGTGCTCACCCACACTGCTGTATAGTGTACACTTCCACACTGTGTGGCTGTCAGGGCTTCAGCTTTCTTTGTCTTTAAGGAGAACATGAATCAGACTGACAGCTACACAACAGTCTCTGATCCATTTATCGTCAGTCTGAGTTTACTGAACAGACACGAGGCTGCAGTAACAATAAGGAGGCCTTAAACTAGTAACCTCACCTGGAACTGTTGACCCAAGTCACACATGAAGTAAGGACAACTGCATTTATGCTGCCTCCTGCTGGGCTGCTAGAATCCATGTTTAAGGCTATTGGTGTTATTGTCATAATGTCCATCTTTTACATACAGTCTGTGGAAACGTCCATGCTGTTGGAAGTCTTCTGAAACTGCAGTGTACACGTTTTACACTCATCTCCAGCTGCAACACTAGAGTGATGTATGCATCCATTAATAATATCGTGCATATGATTCGTTATGAGCGTATTTTCACCCTCAAGCCACTAAAACTGCAGGAGAAAACTAAATGAACAGAACTTAGCTGTGTTTGGATTTCCTGAGCGCTCCGCATGTTCTTTAATTGTGTGTGTGTGTCGTGTAAATGCAGTTACTGTGTGATGTGCAGGTGTAATGCCAGGCAGTGAATATCTGTACTTTTAACCTCTAACCAACCAAAGGACCTCCTTGTTTGTGAGTTTACTGGTCATCACATTATCTACAGTAAGGTATCTTATGTTCGGCTACAGCAGCACAGGACCGTACAAACAGAGAGCCGTGTACCTCTGTGTTGGGATGACCTCGACCGGCTCCTTCTGCTGGGGGCGTCACTTGCTGGCCGTCTGGGTCAGCGCACAGAACGCTGTCCAGCGAGTCCATGGAAGAAGCCGAGTTAACGGAAACTCCGGATGCTGAGGTGATGGAGGAGCGTGACGAGTGGACAATCGAGCGTGCCTAAAGTGGCAAACCAGAAGACATAAGAAGGAGCAGAGAGGCCCTGTCATCGTCAGACCAGCTGGACACAAACGCTGGACAAGCCCGTAGAGATAATACGCTAATGAGCTTAAAACGCTGAGATGATGTGCTCAGACAGCAGTTTGCTGTTTAACTACTAACAAGCTGCTAGCTGCTCGTCTCAGAGTGTCTTTAAACACTAACCCTGAGCACAAGTCAGCACTTATGTTTACTCATGCTTTGCAGTGTGAGGTAGACCCAGTCCAGCCTGCAAGTAACCATGGCGAGCATTTCAAACAGACTGTGGTCACTGCAAACGAATCAACGTCTCTAAAGATCAGTCTACAAGTAAATGACTTGATGGGCTATTTAAATACTGAGAGTCACAGTGGTTTCTAATTCAAAACACTGAAAAGAAGAACGAAGGCCGTCCCGGGAATGTGTCTGCTATAAAAAAGGTTTAGGTACCCATGAAACGAGCGTTCATCAAACTACAGTCTCTGTGTAACAGAACTCTTGATGACAGACACTGTAAGCAGCACCGCTGTGTAACTGTTGCTTTGCTTTCATTAAACATACAAATATCTTTTATTTTATATGACACGGCTCCACGTGATCACAGCCAGGACACAGAAACCGAGTCTACGGGACTCGAGTTCCTCCTATAAAGCCTGCAGAACAGTGCAGAGCCATCGCGCTCACATCTGAGACCGATGACCAGTTCACTGAGCTGACTCCATCCTCCTGCTGCCGCTTTACTTCTGTCTTTTTCGTTTCTTTTGTTGCCTTTGTAACGCTGATGTTGTGATGAAGCACAAGCTCTGCTCTCACCTCGTGTTCGCTGACCGTGCCGACCGATCCCGTGCGTCGATGCTGCCTCTGAGAGGATCCGGGCCTTCGCATCGTGGCTGAGGATGCGAAGGAGGAGGCTGAGCTAAGAGAGTGGGAGGAGGTCTGACGAGCAGCTTCGTCCATACTGAGCGAAGCCTGAAGGAGACACAAACAGAAGAAATGAGAGGACAGACCGAGTACGTCTGCAGGAAGGGAGCACTTTGGTGGTGCTGTGGATGTGTCATCACTGACAGGTGATGCAGGTGGTGCTTGATGAATCCGCCCTTAAAGTTTTACCCACTAATATCAGGGCTGTGTCACATCTTATTGTTAGAAAACCAGAGAAATATTCAGATCTTACCTCAGGGTATCCAGGTGTGTATCCAGGACTGTCTTATGTTCAGGCCTAACATCTGCACACGCAAAAAACTAACTAGGAAGCATTTGGAGACCGACTCCCCCCCCAGAAAAGCAGGAAAGGCCTTTATTTGCTGGTCAGTCACACGTCTGGCTTATCACGCTAAAGAGGAAACAGCGCTAACATCCTTAACTGGTCCAAGTGCTGGTTGGAACCTGAACCCTGAGCTGTTTAAAGGGCACGGGAATGAAGGGAGTGGCAAAGATGACGTTCATGGCAGCACAGCGAACATGAAAGATGGATGTGGTCACTGTGACGCCACCTGTGGGTTCTGAAGCATCAACATGTTCACAGCCATGTTATTTTTTTGGAGCTCGAGGTGACCGAGGTGACAGTGGAGACAACCAAGCTGGCAGCTCGGGTACAAGCTGCATCAGCCTGCAGCTACAGCTGTCCATCACATCAGCCACGAGCATCCAAATGTTGGGAAGCTGACACAGTCCACAGAGACCAGCCTTACATCTGTCGCAGGCTGCACACGTCTTTATCTGTGCTGTGAAGTTTGTGTGTTAAACTGTTGCACTGTGATGTCTGTGATACGACTATGACAGGAACAAACAGAAGAACGTGACCACAGCTCAGAGAAACAGGGCTCAGCCTCCAGCTGCCCTCCCCTCACTCTCTCTGCATCAAGTTAGGGTTGAGTTGAGTCCCAACACTTCTTTGTAATAAAATCAAATGTGTACTTTTTACTGTTACCTTCTCCAGCTGGGCTGTGATGTCATCCAGACTGAAGTTAGAAGCCAGGGCTGGTCTCCCCTGCTGCCCAGCAGGAGCTCTGATGGTGCCGGCCGGTGATGCCCTGGTGCTGCTGCTGCTGCTGCTCGCCCCACTGCTGCCACCCCCACCGCTAACACTGTTACTACCACTGCCGGCAGCACCGCTGCTGCCCCCTGCTGGCTGCTGCCTGCTGCTGCGCCCAGCTGGGGGCTTCTGGCGAACCTGGAGAGACGAGAAAAAAGAAAGCGTTAGCGTAAGAGGCGCAGTCGGTAAACGTACAGCCAGCGACAAGAGGGACGATTGTGCGTACCTTGGTATCGGTTATGCCCAGACGGGCCATGCTACCAGAGCTGTTTGGTTTGGCGTTGACGGTGCTGAGTTCCTGTTCGATGGAGCAGAGGTCGGCCATGAGAGCATCAAGATCCACATTCTCCCTCTGATTCAAGGCCTCTGCAGAGACAGAAGGATGTGAGGCAGGAACAAAGAGGAGGAAGCAGGCATGGCTGAACAAGAACAGACAAAGGTCAGCGACCTGTACGCAGAAGGTCGTTCATTATAGACTAGAATGACAACACGCTTTATGGTAACTGAAAATGTACCGACAGAGTTTATCTTTCACCAAACATCAGGGCAAATACATACGACAGAGAAAAGCACTTTTTTATTATGCTTTTAAAATGCAGATGAGCGAGCTGCTGAAACGTTTTACAGACGCACACTTGCTGATGATGTGTGTACGTCTGATTAGGACTTGGTTGTTATTTAATTGCTAAGGAAACAGTAAGGTGTGGGCTGCATTGTCCTGTGGGGGAAAAAGGAAAACAGGGAGAATAAAAATAAAATGTCTGACCGTTGATGTTATACATGGAGAATCTGTAGGAGAAGTTGGCTATGTTGGTCTCCTGTCTGAGCGGAGGCTTCTCCTGAGGTGGCCGTTCTGAGCGACCGTCATCCAGGCTCTGGATTGGCAGGCGAAGCAGAAAGGAGAGTGTTTACATGCAGCTGCATTTCTAACACAGATAAGCACGGACTGTTCATGCTCTGTGTACCTGTGTCAGCTTGTCCAGCTCTCCCAGCCAGGCACCAAACATCTTATCCAGGTCCTGGTCCTCCTTGTCACTGTCCTCCTCCTCCTCCTCCTCTCTGACCTCCACCTCCTCATCTGACAACTGATCCATCTGAGGATAAGAAGAGTCATGCTCATTAATGCTGCACCTGTGATCTCTGTGCTCCATCTGGTGGTCAATAGTGTGTACTACACCCTTCTTAAACCCTGTCTGAAGCTTGTTGTGTGAAAGCTGCAAATTCAGTGCAAGTGGTTAACGTGTAATAAATCGACGGGCAGCAGGAATCCGGCTTCAAAGAGTCCAGCTGGATTCAGTAGACAGGATGGACTCTGACGTCCCTGAGACGTTCATCGTTTCCTTTGGGGTTTTCCAACAATTCAAATGCACATTAGAAGCTGCTCAGAATATATTTGTAGTCTGATAATCTCTCAGATTGGAATTATTAAAATGTCTCAGGAAATAATCCCTGCCCCAGCACGCCTTTAATAAGCCCAAATGATGGTTAGGGACCCTCTTACAGATAAGCAGTAAATGGACTAAAGTTTAAATGATGAGGCTATAAGACGAGTGTGAGCCAGTAAGAACTGCAGTCAGCTGTTACACTGTTTGGTCCTTTGACCTTCAGTCTCTGTTGTGCCCATCTTGATATGTTTGACATTGTGGTCAAAAACAACATTTTCTATAAATTACTTAAAGAGAACTGTTTAATTTCTCGACCCCTTTGAGTCTTATTCACAGGAAGAGTTGGAGCGGTTTGTTTCCACAGAACTAAAGAGTCCGAAGCCAGAAATGAAAATACCGGGGAAAGGTTAAGAGAGATTAACTGTCTGTGTCCCCAGACAGAGAGCGAGGGAGCGTTGCTTTGATTAACGTCTCTCAGAGTTATTTAAATATACTGAGAAACAGATCAGAGACACGCAGCAGCTGTTAAATACTTTGCTGACAACCAGCAGCAAACACATCTTATTGTAATGAAACCAATGCTCCAACGGTTTATCAAAGTAAAACCATGACCTGCAACCAAACATCGATTTAGTCATCAGGCTAATTCCAACTACAAGCTCATTTCTTTGGTAAATAAAAATACTGCTGACAACAGTTTAGCTGAATGAGTCGCTTAACTTTGAAGAGTATTCTAAGAAATAATTGCTTTTATTCGCCAGAGTTACACAAGTATCACATGAGCATTTATGTCAGAAGCTAATAGTCAGAAGATAGCTAGCATAAAAACACAGTACCAATATTAGAAAGGTATCATGACACATTAAAATAATCATACCTTGTTTTATTTGCACTGACACTCACGACACCCATATTAACACAGCATATACAGAATATGGGAAAGCCCTCAGACCATGAATACAACTAACCTAGCATCTCATGGTGGACCCGCTAACGTCAAAGACTGTCTGGCTACATGATGTGATATCAACCCAATGCAGGAAAAACTGGAAAGTTGTGTAAAATGAAAAGAGACATAGAAAGAAATGATTTGCAGCTCTCAAAAACCCACATTTATTTCATAAAACAACAGCGGAAATGTTCAAACTGACATGTTTTATTATTTCATTGAAAATATGATGATTTTGAAGTCGGCTCAAAAAAAGTTTGGAATGAAGCATAAGGACGGAAAGTAAGTGGTGCTGAAATGAGCTGCAGGAACATTTGTCTCGATCGTGGCTCAAGAGTTGGGAGTTTGTCTTGTAATCGGAAGGTTGCCGGTTCGAGCCCCGGCTCAGACAGTCTCGGTCGTTGTGTCCTTGGGCGAGACACTTCACCCGTTGCCTACTGGTGGTGGTCAGAGGGCCCGGTGGCGCCAGTGTCCGGCGGCCTCGCCTCTGTCAGTGCGCCCCAGGGTGGCTGTGGCTACAATGTAGCTGCCATCACCAGTGTGTGACTGTGTGTGTGAATGGGTGGATGACTGGATGTGTAAAGCGCTTTGGGGTCCTTAGGGACTAGTAAGACGCTATACAGGCCATTTACCATTTTGTATGTAACTGTAACTGGTCACACGTCAGCAGCACGACTGGGTTTCATCGACTACATAATATGCTCAGTGCGGCGAATCTGAAAAAATCTTTGTGTGGAAGACACGAGGCCTAAACTCCATATTGGATGTGGATGATCTTTGGTCCTTCTGGCAGCACTGCATTAAAACGTGATTCAATCATAGAATCATTGCATGGGCTCAGACTTCCAGACATCTGTGAACACAGGTCATCGTGCCATCCATGAGTGGAGGTCAAATGTCTGTCATACAAAGAAGAGCCTGATCCAGAAATCCTTTTATCAGGGCCAATGCTCGTTTAAGGTGGACCAGAGAAAAGCAGAAAACTGCTCTGAGGTCAGACAAATCAAAATTTAAAATTCTTTTCAGAAAAAAAAAAACACGAATGCTGTGTCCTCCGGACTAAAGAGGAGCGGGACCGTCGGGATTGTCATCAGCCTGAGGTCTGATAGTACGGGGGGTGCATCAGTAGATTTTAGAGCAACACATGCTCAGACAACATTTTATTCAGGGAAGCTCATGAATATTTCAGCAAGAGAAACTTCAAACTGCATCTACAAGCTGCTTTGAAACCCACTGCCACCCTAACTGCTGTTCAGCTGTTCTCCCCACCTCTGGCATGTATGCATGCAGAAGGAGTCACTCTCTCCCTACATCACACTTCTAAGACCAGCTCATAGCAGGGCAGAAGGCCACAGAGAAGATCAACACACGCAAACATAAAGCGCCTTGAGACGACTGTTGTAAACTGAACATCAATGCAAAGGAAAACAGTCTTATTTTGACTGTAGGGATCTCGACTCTGCCGTTTCTAACGTCACACTGAAGGTAAATGAAATCATCATAGTTGATATTACACACTGTTCTTTTCTTTTCCAGTACATGTGAAAAAACTGTCTTTTGGTAAAGATTAGCTGTGAAGTGAAGCTGCACATACAGCTCATCGAGTTGTACTCAACAGTGACAGTGTTGCAGGCCTCCTATAAGCAGCTCCTCCAGCTCTCCACCCAGACAACCCCACAGTGCTGCCCAGGGCACAGTATGCTATTCCTGGAGCGCTGCTTACTCGTCACCACTCTGCCCCCTTTATGGAGATACATAGCCAACCAACACACACACACACACACACACACACACACACACACACACACGAGTATGAGGAGCGCTGCTACAATTAGATCCCTGTGGTTAGCAAGGTCTGTCATTTAGACAAGTGTGTGTGTGTGTGTGTGTGTGGTTTGGGGCTGCTGAGGGACCAGAGGAGCGCTGTGAAAGCTCTCACAGCTGCACTCTTCTGCAACAATCTGCTGTTTCCATGCAGCCAAAGGTTGGACAGTCTCCTCTCATCAGGTCTGACTCAGCTTGGGTTCAGCTTATCTGATGCTCTGACATCTGGTCACTGCACCACATATTTTAAATGGAGGAAGAAGACGTAAGACCACACTGTCACACAACGCTGTTGCCGTACATTGAAACTGCGTCAGGATAGTTTTAAGGATGAATCATCAGGTATTTCTGCACAAAGAGTTCATTCGTCTAAAAATAAGCCTGGAATCAATATCAAAAGTCTTAAATGTGCTGTTACAATTATTTTTCTCTGACACTCAAAAACTGATTCAGGGTCCACTGGTGAGTCAACGGCGTCACACCAATTAGAATATTAGTTACAAAGATACCAGGCAGACTGTCACCGTGCTTCATGTTCATCTTTACAATGCTAGTAGAGAACAGTTGCATGTACAAAGCACTTATTTGACCACCATGTGTGTCGGCCTCTTTCCGGAGAGTCTCCAAACTCATTCTGGGATCAGCGGACACGAGCACGTCCCTGCTGGATGTTAGCTTAGCTTCACACCAGGAGCAGCAGGCTGAGGAGCTGTGTCAGGCTACTGGTCGCCCACTATGGCTCGTTCTGGCAGCACCGTTTGTGTCAGCCGGTGATCAGCTGATCACGGGGCCGGGTTTAAAAGAGAGACGCCACCCACCTGTTCGCCGCTCAGACATTGTTCTCTTCATGTCAGGAGCTCCGAAATTTTGCCGATGTCAGTCTCCGCCTGATTCAGCAACCGTGAGTGTTTTTCCCTTCGATCCTTTTTCTCATCCCGGCTCCACTCGCTCTCCGTCTGTAACGCCAGTTCTGAAGCCACGCTTCGTGCACTGATCGTTACTAGAATAACTGCGTGTCTGTTCCAACCCTAGCCAGCCCGCCACACGGGCACGCCGAACTACTGTGTGTAATTCGCCCGATCGTGACAGTTTGTAAAAAGCAAAAGGAAACCACTGAGTAAATACATATATGAATAAAGATAATAATAAAGAAATGGTGACCAGAGGGTCCGTGTGAAGCCTGATTCAGAGTCCATTGGCGAGTCAACGGCGTCGTTGCCATTCTTGCTCATGCTGGTGCTTTTGTCTTCATTACTCTGTGGCTCTTTTCCTGTGTCGGCTGATAGAAACAATAAAAACCTGATATTTTTCCCCTCGAGTATTTCGGTGGCAAACATATTTGTCCCTCAAGTTTCTCACTCCAGAAATGTGCTGACATTTCTCGATCCTATGACTCTTTATCCTGAGACAGTGATCATTATTCTCTCACAGATCAGTCTGAACTGAGATGGAAACACCTGACGTGTGACATGATGTCAGGTAAGGCCGTGGGGTCTCAGAGGGGCTTGCAGGCGTAGCCTGGGCTTATCTCACTTGTTTTCAGTTCGTTTTGTACATTTTAGTCATCGTTGCTTTGGTTCTTGCTTCTGACCAGTTGTTAGCCAGTGAGTCAGCAGATTCAAAGTGACATCACAAAATCTGGCTTTAAAAACGCCAAAATCAAAACACCAGTGTCCTGCTGTGCACCAGTACAGTAGGAGACTGGGACTGATTTAAAACAGCAAACGGCTGGTGCCTTTACTTTTTTAAATATCTGTCATCACATCATGAAGGAGGTATGACTGCACTGCACGGCTACATGTAAGTGTCGTGTAAAAAGATGAGAGAGCACGATGTCAGCGTCCAGCTTGGCTGTACTCTCTCCACCCTCCAGCATCGGCATGCTGTCAAGTGCACCTTCAGGTGGAGCCTTAAAAACAGCTCTGAGTCAAACAGC